GGGGGGGGGGTTCTCAACACCAGTGGTTCTCAACCTGGGGTCTCCAGATGTTTTTGGCCTTCAACTCCAAGAAATCCTAACAGCTGGTAAATTGGCTGGGATTTCTGGGAGTTATAGGCCCAGGGGACTCCAGGTTGAGAACCACTGCACTACACCATGCTGGCTTTCACACATAGATTAGCAGCAGCTATAAAAAAAGGGCTTCCGCTAGTTAGCTCTAAGGCATGTTTCTTTTCCATTTTCTTATTCTTGTCATTTGTTTTAGATAAGAACTGCTTAAGCATGTTTTCTCTGTAGAAACTTTGCCAAGCACTGATAAGCATGACAAATACTATATACACTACAAGCTCTTGGAATACTTAAAAATAAAGCAAGCTATAATCTGAAAGAAAGCAAGGGCAAGGAAGAAATACATAGCTCAGCACACTCTTTATCGTAAGTCCTATTTGAATTTCATACATTTATGTATTTTATTGAGACAATTCCTCTTTTCCCTTATTTTGTATTCCCCATTTTTAAATAAATTTTTCCAATATGTTTATGTGTTTTGTTGTGCCCAATTCCTAGAAATGTGATTTATTCTGACCTACAGGCCAATATTGAACAGAGTTTATGAATAAATAAAAATTAGGAACCCAATCCACATTAAAAATAATACTTTAGTCAGTACATAGTACAATAATAGCAGAATATAAATTGTTTCCAATATTTAAATATTACAAATACTCTCCAGCATTTATGTCTCTTGCTCTCATGTCACTTAAACATAGAATTATGGAGTTGGAAGGGGCCACTGAATCCAGCCTACTGCTCACTGCAGGATCTTTAGCTGAAGCATCACCAGCAAGTAGCTACCCAGCCACTTTTTTGAAGACATCCAGAGAAGGAGACTCCATCACCTCCATAGGCAATAAGTACCATTCCTGAACGTTGGTTACTGTCAAGGAGTTCCTTCTAAGGTTCAACTGAAATTTACCCTCTTGCAACTTAAAATCCTCCTGCTGCCTCAGAGGTTAAACTGATGCCACCACTTTCATTTTGAAGTTAAAGAATAAATGCTACTGTATCTTCATTTACAGTTGCACTCCTCTATGGGATGCAAGGAAAAACTATCTCATGGTTTGGATCCACAGGTCTACAGTGTTCCCTCACTTATTGCTGGGGTTCTGTTTCAGGGCCATTCAGAATAAGTGAAAATCCGCAAAGTAGGGACGCTATATTAATTTAAATATTTACACATGCTTTTATTTATTATTTTCTTAGCCGCGCTTCCTTACCCACCTCCTGGCCCATCCCAAGAGCGCCTGCCTGCCTCCCTGGCCTCCGCAGACCCCTGCAGAGCCTCTGGAGCCACGCAGGCAGCAGTAGGCCAGGGAGGCAGGCCTTCCCTGCCACTCCTCAGGCCTCCGCACTTCCAGTGTCTGTGGAGGCCAGGGAGGCAGACCTTCCCCGCTGTGCCTCAGGCTGCTGCACTTCCAGGGTCCTTGGCCTCCACTGGATGTAAATATTTTATATTTTTAATTAATATTTTCAAAAACCCGTGAAACAGCGAGTCCGCTAAAAGCGAACCATGAAGTAGCAAGGGAACACGGTACATAGAATGAGAGAGTTGGAAAGGTCCTCGTGGGTCATAGGATCCAACTCCTACTCAATGAAGGATCTCCAGGTAAAGTATCCCCAGCTGCCATTCTCTTTTGAAAGATCTCCAGAAGATATTTTTCTAGGAAATTGGTGAACTGCTCTAGCTGTCAGGAAGTTCTTCCTAATATTTAATTGAAATCTACTCACTTGTAACTTAAACTGTTAGACATGGTCCTATCCTGTAGGGCAGCAAAGAACAAACCTGCCACCTCATCTTCAGCAGCCCTTTCAAGAGTGCAATCTTCTCTTCATTAGGCTTAATATGCACAGCTCCTTCAACCATTCTATGGGTCTTGCCCAGATGTAGATCTTTCACTAAAATAGGAACATCACCTCTGTGCTTTCCATCCAAAAAAGGAATGGCAAAGCGGTGTAGTCAGGAACTCCCCTGTGGTCATCGCACAGCTTAGATGTGCAAAGGGTATTGTTTTATCTTCCTATCTTGGGCAAAGAACCACCAGACAAATGAGCAGAAAAGTCCGTTTGCTCCAGGGACTGGGGATGGAACACTGAATGGCAAGAGTTCTGAGAAAGGCTCTGGTTGTACTGGTTGGGGAAATCTGGGAATTTTAATCCACCCAAAAATAACTTGTTTCTGATCCAGTATTGTTTTAAGTGTTGTGTGGCTTGAAATCATTTCTGACTTATGGTGACTCTCGGCGGTGCTCTGGTTTGCTGCCACCACAAGCTGCACTTCACTGGCATTTCCATGGATAGATTTATTCGGAAGGGAATTGCCTGAATCTGGCAGAGCATCTTCTCTGTATGTGTTTGGCACCACTTTAGCTACCATGGGAGTTGTAGTTTTAGATGGTCTTTAGCTTTCTCTGCCAAAGAGTGCTAGTGTCTCACCAAACAACAACTCTCATGATTCCACAGCATTAAGCCATGGCGGTTAGTGGTGTCAAACTGCATTAATTCTCCACGGTAAATGTGCCCTGAGGGAAGTTTCCAGGACCAAGCAGAGATTCAAATCCTGGTTTCTCGGTGTTCTAGTCTAACACTCAAACTACTACATCATACTGGCTCTTGATCCACTGTTACATTTTTTCCTCCTCTATGTGAATGACTATATCACAAAATGACTGGACAGCACTCTTTTTTAAATTAAAAAAACCCAACTTTATTGAAACCCATGTGTACAGTGTGTTTTGGCCATAGGATACCACGTAGGCAATGATGCATGATGATGGTAAACAAAGGAAGACCAGAGAAACACATCTTGTAATCTTTTTTTGATGGTCAAATTTTTTTTTTTAAAAAAAAGAAAGCAGAATATCCAAAGTGCTTGCAAAAGTTATTGAGTTTCATAAAAATAATGTCATGGGTACAAGAGTACAATATTTATATATGCACTTGACATGGTCCTCCTTTTGCAAAGCAATGACAACCCATCAGTCACACTAAAAATAGTATGTAACAATCATTTCTTTACATTTCATAATTTTAAGGCTTGTTTTTGCCCTGTTGATAGTCATTATGATACTACTTGGTATAAAAGCAGGTACAGTCTTTAAAAAAACCAATATTTCTTAACATAAATACATAGTCACTTCATGACTGAAAACAAAAAGCAAATTGCAAATTTCTAAGCATCAATTAAGCACCACTGTTTCTGTCCTAATGCTTATAGTGCAATTTTCCCTTTTCCTTACACAGTTTTAAAATGATGAGTGGCAATAACTTTTAATTTTTTTAAAAAAAAAGCTTTTCCTTAAATTACTTGTGGTTTCTACAGAATGTATCTTGAAATGGTATTTTTGGCATTTTGTAAAGAATGGACACAACCTTCATATGAACATTTAGTCTTCCACAGATATCTAGATATTTAGTTCTTTTGAGATATATGCTAAGATAATTTATGTAGAGAATAATACGTGTAGAGCCAAATGAAATACAGTCTAATTCATCTGGGTGGCAGAAAGCAAGAACTTTTAGATGATGAGATTTTAGATAATGTCAATGAACATAGGAAGCTGCTTATATTGTATAGGTCTACTTAGGCTGCCAACAACCATGGAAGGATCATGGTGAGATCCATTTCAGTGGAGAAATTATACTTCAAACAATCAAAGCATGATTTTTTTCTACTGGGCAAGAACATGTCATACAGTCTACAAAGATCTTATACACCTTGAGATCTTTGCCCAGACTTCAACTATGCATCCTTGTCAAATGGCTGCCAGTGTCACTCTGCTTTGTTGTTGAGTGTGGGAAATCTGGTACCCTCGCCTACATCGCTCGCTTCCAGCTGGGGGGAAGTGTGGAGTGCATGTGGAGAACATGGCTTCCCCACATTGAGTCTAATGGCAATATGGGAAGTTTCCCATGTTGCCACGGCAGCACATGCCGTCTCCATCCTCCTTCACTCACAGAGCTGCGCCGGCATCATCTGACAGGAGCCGCCTAGCTCAGTGGGTGACCAAGGCCAAATGGGCATATGCTGCTGAATTTAGCCCTATGTGAAGAGATCTTAAAGATCAGTATCCCAGCTGGCCCAATACTGCCTACTCTGACTGGCAGAAGTTTGCTTATTTCAGATATGCTCTAATCTAGAAGGTCTACTAGTGCTTTATGAATACAAAATATGCATGTCACTGCTGAATGACAGCAGTACAGAACCATTACACAATGAATCAGGGTACATAGTGGTCAATATTATAATGTAATGTAAAACCAAGCGTGTCTTTTTAAAATGTATCTTTTACATTTACAGAATGTTGAGGTTCTATGTGTGTGTGTGCATACGTGTGTCTAGTGAAACTTGTCTACAGAAGGTCATACACTGGCCTTGATCCAACCAAGGTAAAACATTTGTCTTGCAGATAACTGAGTTTATACTGGAAAGAAACCCAACACAAGTTGCCCATTTTATTCTATTTACATGGATTCACACATACCAGGGTATTGTTCTCATGAGTCCCATGAGTGATTTAATTTAATTCCAACCATGTTGGTGCATGAGGTCTCCAGATAGGCCCAGCCACAACTTACAATGCGAATGAAGCATCTGGCTCTTGCATATTTGGCAATAAAACAGAGTCTCAGCATAACTGAACTTCTAGTAATCAAGATTAACTTCTGGCTCTTCTGAATTATTTCTGGAGCAAAATCCAGCAACTATGCTCATCCCTAGGTACAACCTGTTGAACAGATGGTTGTGTTTAGACTGGAAATGAAATTCTCTGTGATTTAAATCCAGCAAATGGAAAATGTCTATCTTTTACCATTCCAACCACCCCCAGCTATATAGAGGGATGGCAATTTTCCATCCCCAAGGATCTAATCTCTAATTTGATGTAGGAAAAATATACAAAATATGAGATCAAAATTGGATACAGTAAATCCATGTATGTGTATTTCTGTATGTAAAAAACATACAAACATACAAGACACTTTGGAAAGAATCATTGTATCTAGGGATTCTTCTATTACTTTCTGTGCACACATATAGAAAAGTGTGCATTTTTCTCTAACATTTGTTTTAGAACTTCTTTTGTGAAGTCATTATTTTGCAGTTCTGTTTTAAATCAGAAACAGCCAAGAGGCTTGTGGAACCTTAAAGACTAGCAAACTCTAAAGATGAACAAGTTTTAATTGGCATAAGCTTTCCTTCACAGACATCAAGGACAACAGTTTACACACCAGAGTTTTAAAGAGATCCAAATACTTTTTTTTTTCAGATGGATCTAGACATCCAGAGAAAATCACAAACTGCCTCATTATCACAAAACCGGATGCATGAGTTGAGGAACATGGTGCCCTGATCTTGCAATGACTTCAGAGTCTATTAGACCTACTTCTTCCTATGCCAGTGTTAAGGACAGTGAGAAAAGAGTTAACAATTCTGATAGCACCATATTGATTGTAAAGTATAGTTTAACTTAAGACAATTGATGTCAACTTAGGCAATTGATGGTGAAAGAAAAGTCTGTAACTGAACAATACATATTATAGAAACACAAAATGTGAAAAGCATGACTCAGGGGAAGCTAGATATAGTGAAACAAATGGAATACTGCCATACTTCAGATGAGAGGACTAAAGGTGCCAGGAAAGGGAAGACTTGGAATGATTACTGAAGCAAGTCAAGGAAGAAAATGCAAAGGCAGATTTACAGCTGAACCTTAAGAAAATAAAAATAACGACCAGAAATGATTTACAGGAAGATAAGGTAGACGATGAAGAAACTAAAATAGTTCAAGATTTTCTATACCTTGGTTCAGTCATTAATCATAATGGAGAGTATAGTCAAGACATCGGAATGTATCTTTCCTGCTTCTTGGCAGGGGGTTGGACTGGATGGTCCATGAGGTCTCTTCCAATTCAATGATTCTATGATTCTGTGATACCTTGCACTTCGACAAGCAGCTTATGAAGGAACTAGACAAGATTCTCAAGTATTAAGATGTATCATTGAGTACTAAAGTTTAGATGGCTCACCACATTTCCAATTTCAACATATGGTTTCAAAACTTGGACAAGGAAGATTACTGACAGGAAAAAATGAAATCATTTGAAATGTGGTGCTGCAAAAAGATACTGTTGAGTGCTAAAAGGACACCTCACTGGGCCCTAGATCAAATCAAGCCTGAACTCTCTCTAGAGGCCAAGATGACTAAACAGAGACATACTTGGGACACATCAGAGAAGGTATGACTCACTAGAAAAGGCAACAATGCTTGGTAAGAGAGAATGCAGGAGAAAAAGAGGAAGACTGAATTCCAAATGAATAGACTAAATCAAGGGAGCAGGGATCCCTTGCGCCTGCAAGAGCTGAGCAGGGATGCTGGTGATAGAGAAACATAGACATTTCTCATTCTTAGAGTTGATATAATTCAAAGTAAAGGTGGTGGCAGTTAACAGCAGTAGCAATGTGACATGACATGACACAAAGTCCTTCATCAGTAAACACCTGTCCATTGAGGTCTATTTTGGCAAGATGGATGAAGATCTGTATGTCTCCAATGTATGTGTTTTAAAATTTGCAGTGGTGAGGTAAAGTCTTTGCACATTCAGTTCATTTGCTGTTACTGTGGCATTTTGAATTAATACATCACTATAAGAAACCGTAACAGAAGTATGGAGAAGTTTATTCATATTTGTTAAGATTTTGCAAATCTGGTACTGCAGGCAACAGTTTTGCTGTAGTTGACAGTCATCCCAAAAATAATTGTGGATATTGAAATTTGATAAATCCCAAACAAAATGGTTTTCTCCTCTGCCCTGACCACAGAATATGTGTTGGGAATCAGTCATACACAATTCAATAACTGATTGTGGGATATTGGTTTATTTTTCTAATTATCTGTACAATAAATTAATGCATTCGTGAGAATTTTATTTTGCTTGGTACTCTTTCTTCTTTGAGGTGTTAGTCTTTCTAGTTCTGATTCAAAGGTTGCAAAGAAAAACATGACACAAGGGGGCCTGGAGTCTTCAGAAAGAACAGTAGAAATCATGTGACTCCTGCCTCATGCTGGGTAGTGAAGGAGAACTCAAAAAGTATGATCTTTGCATCCATGAAAGCTTACGCTGAGTAAAACTAGTTCGTCCCTAAAGTGCCATTAAATTCCTTATTTTTCTTGCAACAGGTGAGACAGCTACCCCCCACATGGCTGCAAATATGCATGAAATGAAAGAGTGGTAAGAAATCAGTATAATTCCTAGGAAATACATTCATTTCCTAAGCATAAATAAATAAAACCAGGAAAGAACTTTCTGTGAACTTCTGAAGAACACGAAGGTTCCCTTGAACTCTGTTTAAAAATCACTCTTATTTTCAAAGACTGGCATCCTAATAGTAACATACTCTAGTATTGTATGTCTTTTTCTTTTAGTCATTACAGAATGAAGAACTTAAAACCTCTTCCATACAATGGCCTCTACCCCCTCAAAACAGACTTTTTCCAAGGGAACTGCACTATGACTGAATAGTGGCCAGCGGAGAGAGACGGGCACTGGGCAGTGGTGGAGGGACTAGTTATTTGCCTATATTCTCCAAAGGACAGTCATACAAGAAATATGTAGACTTTGGAGGAGTTCGCAGAAAATGACATGAGTCCTGCAGCAGGAAGATGAGTCCTGAGGAAGGCGAGAAGGGTGACAGGGCATTTTCTGTCTGAACTAAACTTTATGCCCTGTCGCTCAGTGCAGAATCTTGGCCAATGTTTGGATGTGACCTCAATTGACCCCAAATTACTTATTTATCTTCCATTACTATATGGTGTGCTACAGGATTTAGTCTATAAATCCTAAAGGATATTAATAAATATTATCATGTTAGCACCAGGCCAGTGGCTATTAAGGTACTGGCCAGAAGAGGTTGTATGCCATTACAAAAATATCCAAGGCTATTGATAAAGCCATGGTATCCTGGTGTGTTTTCACTGAGTCCCTGCATAACACCAATGGACTTACACATTTTTAAAAAATATCATAATTTTCTCTTTCTCCTAAGAAAGAAGTTCTAAAATGCCAAAAATACCTAACACAAACCATTTAGCACCTTACAAAGATCAGTGCAGCCTGTAACAATGATGAAAAATGACTGATTGAAGGTAAACAATTGAGTATAGTGACAATAAAAGTATCACTTTTGTCATAATGCTACATATAATGTAGAGTACGTAAAATGCAGTGGTATGACTGCAAGATTTAAAAATTAAAATTAAAAAAAACACAGGGTAAGCAGCCTTAATATAAACATTTTACGTACAAAAATATTAAATCAAAAATAAATAATTCCAGACATAAATATTATACTTTACAACATAAAGAATATACACCACACACTCCCATACATACGCACGCACACACACACATACATATGCAAACAAGCATAGACATGCATGCAGCCATACACACATTCAGATGCACACAAAGAGGAAAAAGTACAAAAGTGGAAGGCAAGAGGTATTGCTTCATTATCCTTCATCCGTCTTGCTTCAGCTCCCAGCATTCAAAACTCCTGGGAATTGAAAACATGATGCAGACTTTTCATTTCAACTTTCAGTAGCATTGGTGGACTAAAAAAGAACAGTTTGTCCCTTCATGAGGGAAGCCATCTGAATGAGCACAGGACACAAAAGAGCACTTTTCTTTCTTTATACAGCTCAATCTGGGTCAAATATATTTTTATACTTTCTCCTGGAATAATAATATCCTCAACACTAAATCCTTGTATCATGAAAATTACATCTACGGCATTTCCTGTTGGCTTTGTATGCTTCTACAGGAATTCTGCTTGTATGGCCACACACGCTCAAGGAATTATTTACTTTCCCATAATCTGGATGTCAGGTTCTGGAGCAACCAAAATTATGGGATTGTTGCCATCTGACATAGCATACACCCTTCCAATTGGCAAGGGGCCTTTGTGTTGTGTCCATGAAGTAGCCCAAAGACTGATGTGAAGGGTGCTCAGTGGTGTCACTACATCTGTAGCTATTTCATCACAGTCATGACCACTGTTATAATTTATATATTTTATCCATTTATGCAAAAGTGATACTACTACCACTGCTACTACTGGCACTATTTTTGTAATTTACTAAAAGACAGTAAAACTGCCCTCACTGAAATATATCAGAGCAATGGTCATATTATCCTAAGCCCAATGAAAACAAGACACAATAAAACAGAAAAAAGGATTAACATGCTGAGGCCAAGAGAGAAAATGTGTTTTAACTTCGAACTAAAAAGACAGCAAAGTGGTTGATAGTCATTCCTTTATGGAGTGAGAGTTCCACAAATAGGGAATAATAAAAACAAATTTCCCCTTTTGAAAAACACAAAATGACTGAGGCCCCTTCCACAGAGCTGAAAAAAATCCCACATTAACTGCTTTGAACTAGAATATATGGCAGTGTGGACTCAAATAACCCAGTTCAAAGCACATATTGTGGGATTTTCTGCCTTGATATTCTAGGTTATATGGCTGTGTGGAAGGGCCTTGAGATTTTACATGGCTGTGTATAGCGTAAACATTGTGTATGTGGAACTCTGCTATGGTTGTCCTATCGCCAAGCCCAGGATTCAGCAGTGTTGTGACGGACTCTCCCATAACTATTCCATTGCTGATGGAGAGAGGGGATGTGGGGGTTGGAGAAACCTTCAAGATGTCTCCACTGCTAGTCACAGATCAAGGACTAAGAGCTGCTCTGGAGGACGATGAGTGTTTGACTATAAGAATATAAGCAAGGACTTCACAGATCCTGGCCACTCTCCATCAGCAAAGGAACAGCCATAGAGTGGAGTAGGGGATTACTGAAGTGAAAAGGCATATCCAGTGGGCATTTTGGAAATGATAGAGAGCGGAAGAAGGTAGCAACCTCCACAATAGCCAAAGGAATCCATATGCAAATGTAAGTGGAACTTATACTTGCATATGCTATTGACATGATGGTGACCAACATATGTGATAGATACTTTGAAAAAATCCTCCCCAAAAGATCTAATGACATGGAAAGACTGGTTGAGGGAGAGTGTGTGTCCTTATGCTAGAACTGAGCTTATTAGACTCAACTGCACCAGTTTGTTAGTGCAGTGCACCAAAATCTCAGTCTGGAGCTACACTGCCACATAACTGTATTGAACTGGATTATATGAATCTATACTGACATATAATTGTTCATCTGCAGTCTGAAACTCCATTATATGGCAGTGTAGATCCAGCCTCAGGCTGTGTTCTTGTAATCCAAAGTCTGCTTACCTAGAATTACGTTTTACTTAAATGAGTAGTACTTACTGACTAATTGATTGATTACTTATTTATTTAGTAAAAATAAATATATTCCTTAGTATCAGGGGTATCAGGACTTTTAAATGCTTGTATGGCAGCAAAATCCAAAAATCAGAACTTACTATTGCTAAAACACTTGGACATCGAGGCCAGTTCCAGATGATGGAGTACATTTTCCACAGTAACCACCACATTTCCCTATAACTTTGGTACCATCCTGTAGTTTAAGAAAGAAAGAAAGGAGTCAGAATAGAGTAAATGGAATTCTTCACAACCTGTATGTATGTGAGTGAGTGCATGTACTGTACAAACACAAGGAATATATATAGAGAGGGGGGGGGGAGGGAGAGAGCAACATATGGAATAAGAATAAGGCTGCATCTATACTGCCCTATATCCCAAGATCTGATCACATTCCCCTTCCACACAGCCATATAACCCAGAATATCAAGGGAGAAAAACCACAATATTTGCTTTGAATTAGGTTATCTGAATCCACACTGCCATATATTCCAGTTCAAAGCAGATAATGTAGGATTTTATTCAGTTGTGTGGAAGGGCCCCCAGATTATCTGTTTATCCTAGATTATCTGGCAGTGTAGACTCATATAATCCAGTTTAAAACAGATATAGGGAATAATAAAAACAAATTCAGATCCTGGGCTATAGGGCAGTGTAGATCCAGCCTAAGAGCACAATACCAACACTACTGGCTTGTCTACTGACACAAACAACAAGCATTGGTCACAGACAGAGAGTTTACTGCTAAAATATGGAAAGATTGCATAAGTGAACTCTTCAGAATAAATCCTAGTAAACAGAAGGGAACTTACTTCTGAGTAGGCAAGGGTTTTTTTTTCAAAACTCTAAAAGGATTTTTTTGCTTTGAAAGAGCTTTATTTAAAGAGAAAAAATATGACGAAGAAATGAGACAACAAAACAAGCAGCACCTTCAAGATTCACATTAATTTGATCTCCATTTAAAATATTGTGAACTAATGCAGTGAGGAAGGGGCCTTAGCTAGCATACAAATAAGTACAATAAATCTTCTAACTCCTCCCCTAAAGTATATGCTGTACTTGGATCCTTTTTGACATTCAAATATTTCTCAGGGTCCTTCCACTCAGCCCTTTATCTCAGGATATCAAGGCAAATAAAAATCCCACATTATCTGAGTGTGGACTCAGATAACCCAGTTCAAAGCATATATTGTGGGATTTTCTGGGATATAGGGCTGTGAGGCAGGGCCCTCAGAAGGAAAAAGATCAAAGGTAGGCCAAGTGGCATTCAAAACCTTCCAGTCCCTTTTTTGCTATTAGTATGAAAATTCTGTGTGATATTATTGATCTGTGAACCTGGTACCCAATTCCTATGAGCAGTGTTGCTCCCTTATTCTCTTCGTATTTAAATTTCAAGAGCGATGTCTGATAGGTTATGCAGGTAAAGTGATGTATTCTACATCAATTGCCTCTTAGCTTTCATTTTAATTTTGTCAGCTGGGACTCTCCCTTGGTCTTTTGTGCTCAGCACTGATTTCTTTCAGCTGCTTTAGCTTTACCAGTGAAAGCTTTCTTCTGCACTGTCACTTTTAAGATTGAGTTTAAAATGGCTTTTATTTTTCACTGCCCTGGCTTTTCTGTTTTAAACTCTGACAGCTAAAATTGTGAACAGCCCAAGCTTGACAGCAGTTCTGTTGTTTGCAGTGCCCTGTCCAGGGCAACAAACTAGTTCTTGCAAAGTAAACACACAGATATTATATATTATTTATCTTTCACTACCCAAGTGGTTTTATTTAAGAAACCTAGTATGTGACATAATAATTTAATTTCTGAGAGTATTAGGTCCAATGTTTACATGAATCTATTTGGTAAGGTCACAATGGCTTTGAGAGCCAGGGTACAAGATGCAGATGATCCTTGGGAATGTCCATTTTTTTTAAATGCTCTATAATGTTTTGTTTTTTGGAAGATTTTACCCTGCTCTTTACCCTATATGTGCTGCCTCCACTTCCTGAATATCTCTGGATCATTTGGGTGCAGATCTTAAATAATAATAATAATAATAATAATAATCATCATCATCATCATCATCATCTTTATTTGTACCCCACCACCATCTCCTCAAGGGGACTGAGGGTAGCTCTCAGAAGCACTCCAAGTGCCACATGCAGACAACAATACGTAAGTATAAATACAATGACATAAGTATAACCAACAGTGCATAAAAATCTCAGTGAACCTGAGGGCCATCTATCTGTCATAATAATCAATTAAAGTGTGGGCCAGTACTATCAATGACCATGGACATTGGCCATGGATTTCTTCAGGCTCAAAGGCCTACCTGAAGAGCCATGTTTTTAGACTCACCTGGAAGGCCTGAAGAAAGGGGGCTAATCTAATTTCTTTAGGGAGGATATTCCAGAGCCATGGAGCCACCACTAAGATGGCCCTCACTCTCGTCCTCATAAACCGTGTTTGAGATGGTGGTGTGACTGAAAGAAGGGCCTCCTCAGCAGATCTTAATGCCCATGCCAGTTCGTAGAAGGAGATGTGGTCTCAAAGATAGGTTAGACCTGAAGCGTATAGGGCTTTATAGGTAATCTCCTGCACTTTGAATTGGGCCCAGAAACTTATCGGGAGCCAGTGGAGCTGCTTTAAAAGTACTGCCTATTAGTCAGTGGGCACTGAAAAGGTAAATGTTTTAAAACACTTAATTTACCCCATATTGGTTTGTTTAAAAGTTTACTGCTTTTTGAGGCTGAGAAGTACTACACAACTGGCATATACAACTGCATCTAACACAAAGAAAAGAGATTCCACCTAAGCTTTAGGAAGAACTTCCTGATGGTAAGAGCTGTTTGGCCATGGAATATGCTGTTCCAGATTGTGGTGGAGTCTCCTCTGGAGGTTTCTAAGCAGGGGCTGCATGGCCATCTGTCTGGGTTGCTTTGATTGTGTGTTCCTGCATGGCAGGGGGTTGGATTGGATGGCCATTGTGGTCTCTTTCCAACTCTACGATTTTATGATTCTAACTGTGTTTAAGAAATGATTTGCTGTGTGTCTGCAAATGTTGTACCTGGATCCAGAACGGGAGGGAGAGAAGCCGGCCCGCAGGCCCTTGGAGGAGTAATCCCCTTAGTATTTTATTATGCTCAGTAGCCCTGTTAGAGCAGGCTCCCAACTGTATACTTCCTGAGGACTCAGACAACTAATTAAAGAAGTGTCTGGACCACTGTGCTCAATGTTTTTAGCTTCACGGTTAAGCAGACCCACTAATTAATTGCAATAATACAGATCAGGTTGAATTTATGCCAATCTGTTTCTCCAAATCCACCCATAACAGACTATGCTTTGCACTTAGTGCACTTTACATTAGATGTCAAAAGATTGGTTTAGTTCCCCTCCTCCCAGGAGGAGGCACACTGCAATTAGCTGCATGTCAGGAAAGAAGAAATATGCTGTGTTTGGTAAGAACAGTGACATATTTTTTTCCTTACTGGTGATTTTATAATTTCGGAAACAGCGTAGTTCCCTTGGGAAAGCCATTTTGATGCTTGTGGTACTGCTAGATCAGTTCCAGAGAGGTTGATGCTAAAGCGACCCTTGAAAAAAATTAGAAATGGAAAAAGGCAAGAATTATACATGCTTCCTGAAATGGTTACTGAACAATACAAGGCACGCATAAAATGAAATAAAATGCCTGCAAACTCCCATGTAACAGTGTTGCTATTCTAACAAGATCTCCCCGACGATGTTTTCAATTGTTCCAAACCCTCATAGCGATTAGCACATACTGTACAAATCACAGCAGGAGTGAGATTAAGCATTTCTTCTCATTTCTTGCTTTCTGGAGAAAGGCTGCTTTACAGCAGACCGCCAGCTGAGGGCATTCGTGTCCTTTGCATAATAATGTCATGCACATCATGTTCTGCTGGTGATCAGAGAAAGCCAACCAGCCCTTTTCCATATTTGACTAGCTGAAGAGACATTTTTTCTTTTTCCCTTCTTAACTTGTTGTTATTAAACATAAAGAGAAGCATTCTTATTTAATTTAATATATTAAAAGGCTGGGTCTCTCAATGCAATGCTTAAAAGGATGGGATCTTAATGCAAATGCTTCCTAAGTTTGAAACATAATAAATTAAGAATAGCGTAGCTCAATTTAGGGATGATCAATACAGACTGGGATACAAATACAGATAAACTGTTCATCTATCTAATGTCAGCAGCCCGAATTGTATTTGCGAGAGTTTGGAGACAAAATATAATACCAACAAAGGAAGACTGGTTAGAAAAGACATTAGACATAATGAACATGGATCGTCTGACGTTTTTATTAGCAGTACAACAGAATACATATTAAAGTAACAAACTGGACCCTCATTAAGGAATGGATAAAAGAAAACAATTTCAAGATGCTACTATGAAGAGAGTCTAGGAGCGGAGAATCACCGACATCAAACAACCCATATAGAAAAAAGAAAGGAATTCTTAAGTTTTTTTCAATACCATTATAAAGAAGAATGGAAGTTTAATACTTTTTTCTTATTTTTTCTTTCGCTCTTTTTCCCCCTCTTTCTTCCTTTTTTTCTATCTCTCAAGCTTTAACCCTAACCCTAACCCCAACCCAAATCCAAACCCAGATCCTTTTTGGACCTTTACCTTTGAAAACCTTCAATAAAAATTGCTGTTTTAGAATTCTGGGAGTTGCAGTTAACCAACAACAAGGAAGAGAAAGACAGGCGGAGAGATCTTCAGCCTCCTCTGCCAAAGGGGTTCCTAAGACCATCAGAAATATGTGTTTTGTGATGGTTTTTGTCAACCTCACAACCTTTCCAGGGGTCCTGACCCACAGGTTGAGAAACACTGTATGTATGTATGTATGTATGTATGTATGTATGTATGTATGTATTTAAAACATTTATATCCCGTCCTTCTAAACCTCCAAAGAGGAACGCAGGACGGCTACCAACAGGAACCGTTCAATGCCAACACACAATAAAACATAGCTTAAAATACAGTCAGTACAAATTAAGACAGTTATCAATACACATTGCATTAAAACAGTTTGCCAGTTCAAATCATCATCCTAAAAACAGTCCATTGTCATCCATTAAAACATTCGCTTTCCCAGAAAAATCAGTCTATTCTGCAAACACTTGATCCCACATCCAGGATTTGAGTTTCTTCCAGAAGGTCAGGAGTGAGGGGGAGGATCTGATCTCATTAGGAAGGGAGTTCCACAGCCGAGGAGCCACAAAGGAAAAGGCCCTGTCTCTCGCCCCCACCAAACGCCACTGCAAAGGCGGTGGGACTGAGAGCAGGGTCTCTCCGGATGATCTTAAGGTCCTTGATGGTTCGTAAAGGAAGATACATTCGGACAGGTAAACTGTCCAAACATATTACATATGTTTTTATTTGCTCGTAATTTTACACTTGTATATTTTACCTGAGTGGCTCTAATTTATAAGAACCTCTTTGTAATATTATCCTGTTTCACAAAATGATGTTAGATGACTGATTACTTTAACCATTTTTTTTGTTTGCTGCCCTGAGAATGCTTTTGAAGAATAAACTAACCTAATAAACTAACATTAACTAACTAATAAACTAATAAACTAACATTATAAACTAACATTAACTAACTAATAAACTAACATTAACTAACTAATAAACTAATAAACTAACATTAACTAACCATTTGAGCATTGCTGTTAGAAGACAATGCACTATAATACGGGGGGGGGGGAGTATTCGATTAGGAAGTGTAGAATGCAACAACAACTGAAGTGTGACTGCTTTGATCAAGGAAAATCTCGATTCTGGACTGTAACAAATGGATCCATGATTTGGGAAACATTGTTGAGTTACCTGTGGGCACTTGGCTGCACTGTAGCAATCCCCAGCAGTGGCAAAAGGAACAGGTCGTCCATCAAGTGTCTGTGCAAACTGTAAATCAGTTGCTGCGAAAAAAGCAAAAAGAAAAACAAAACAAAACTAATGTATTCGTTTTCATGTAGCCCAACTGTCTTTATACATTGATTATATGGATCCACTGGGGAGTTCTATACATAATAAAGCTGACAATCAAGTGTGCAGCTTGGAATGGCATTTTGATGTGTGCACATCAAAAAATGGGAAAGGATCTCTTGAAAAACCTTTAAGACTACAGACATCTTAAATATGCAGAAACACCAAGCTTTTAAATCTCCCCACTTTTATCCAGAGGAAGCATGCTCAGGGTATTTCTGCTGATATTTCTCTCACCTCAAAGCTATAGTCTAGTTTTCTTATTATGTTTTGCATCATGTTTGAAATCTTAGGATTCTCATGGAGGTGGAGCGGAGGCATGCTTCATCTCAAGTTGATTTGGGTACGGTATAAACAGGCTTTAGATTGGTCCTATGCTGTGTAAAGATCTGCAACTTAATTCCATTTGGCTTAACTCAAATCCCACTGTCACCTTTCGGCAGTATTTCAAGGGGAACAGTCTCTAGACCAAAGTCTGGCTGAAACAAAGATAAGCTACAGCATTTTTGCTAAAGGGTGAAACATGCCACACACTTTTTACTGCACGTCTTTTTTGCTTTCAAGCAGGTCTTGAATCTAAAAAGAAAGCTGCAAGGAGGCCATATACCTTTTCCTCCAAGAATTTATTATTCTGCCATTGGGAAAAATGGGCTGACATGTGGAACAGGATTTAGAGGGTTACATTTGTGTTTTATCACATTTGAACTTTAAAGAGATAAATAAAACTTTCCAGAAGCTTAATGTGTTGTAAGGTGCAAGAATATGGAGCAAACTCTAGGAAACAGAGTTCCTGTTACCTTTTGGAACTTACCTAAAGAAAAAGTACTGTACCATAGTGCAAAGCTTCTTAAACTGCGGGTTTTGTGTCTTATTTGGAGTTCCCTAAATGAATGTGGTTTTGAAAAAAATGTGCAATTTGCCACTTAGTGACTGTTTTAAACATTTACATGAATCTGTTAGCAACAAAATGCAGCAAATGGTTTAGCTGTACTTCATAAAAAAGGGAAAAATAGTCAGCCTTGTTTAGCAAACCTTGGAAATGCTGATTTTGCTTGAAAGCTATCTTGTGAGTTTCAGAATAAAATGATAATAAAAAAACTAAGTTGGGTTCACAAGCCATACTCATTTGAAATCAAAACATCAGTCATCTGTCATTAAAAAGTTCATGAAGAATTTGCATGCAACTTGTGCAGGAAGGAAGACACAATACCATTTATTTGTTTTGGGGAAGGAAAGAAAGGATATGGACCAAATACATGTATGTGAACAGACAGTGATGGGAACAAGAGAGAGGTCAATATGAGTTCAATTCAAGCATTATAGAATGGAATTAAAAATATTGCTCTGTGTCTCTTGGTATCAAATATTCAGTTACGATTTAATTCTTTATGTAAAAAAAGAAGAGAGCCTGGTGGCGCAGTGGGTTAAACCATTCAGCTGCTGAACTTGCTGACCAAAAGGCTGGTGGTTCAAATCAGGGAGCGTGGTGACCTACTGTTGTTAGTCCCAACTTCTGCCAACCTAGCAGTTTGAAAACATGCAAATGTGAGATCAATAGGTACTGCTTCATGCAGTTATGCTGGCCGCATGACCTTGGAGATGTCTATGGACAATGCCAGCTCTTTGGCTTTGAAATGGAGATGAGTATCACCACCCAGAGTTGGACAAGACTAGACTTAATGTCAGGGGAAGCCTTTACCCTTACCTTATTGGAAAATAAACAAGCATATCCATCTTATTAGTATACAAGTTTGCTTTCATCTTAATAAATGGCAAAATCATTTTATAACAAAGAGATATTTTAAAATAAATTTCTTTATGATTTGTTATCAGAAAATATTTGATTTGTATATCTATTCTATATACTTATATACCCCGGGGTTGCCTAAATATTTCTCAGGCAAAAACATGTTGCAAATGGAAAAAGATTTTAGAAGCCCTGACACAGTGTACCATAAATGTTGAATCCATGCAATGCAAGGAATGTGCTTGCTAGATTAGTCTACTTTAAATGGATAATTGAACCCCATGGATCAGAAAATATTCAGGTGATAAAAGCCTTGTTGTTACTCACTTATTATTTGCATAGCATTCAGGTCCAGCCTGACTTTGCTGAAGGTGGTAAAGCCAGCTGCGGTGTAATCTTTCCTACATTGGCAATCTTCTCTTCTACTTCCATTGTATGGACACTCGGTTGGGTTATGTAATCTGAATCAAAAGAAAGCCCTTTTTCTACTCATGACAACAAATAATAACACCAGGAACAGAAAACAAAGTAACATCAAATGTGGGGTGGCGTGTGTTCTTACCTGTAGCTGTAGACTTCTGAGAAATTCTCTGCTTCGCCCTTCACCAGAGTCACATACTCTTTTGGTCTGTCAGATTCCATACCAGCACAATATATCTGAAAGAAATACACCATAATTCTATCAAACGTCTAACACTTGCTGCTAAGTGCATGGCTAGGAAATCAAAAGTTGAAAAATAGAAAGGCAGAAGTCACAAAGGAAAAGAATTAATTATGGTTTAGGATTCTTGAGAAAAAATTATACAGTGCAAGCAGTCGTCAAGATGCAACCACATAATTAAAATTCAAGGATTAATCTCTCTGTCACACACACACAGGCAGCTTTCACTTTTCACCTCCAAAGCCTAGAAATTAAAGACTGATGTAGGAATTTATAATGACAATCATAGAATCATAGAATCAAAGAGTTGGAAGAGACCTCATGGGCCATCCAGTCCAACCCCCTGCCAAGAAGCAGGAATATTGCATTCAAATCACCCCTGACAGATGGCCATCCAGCCTCTGCTTAAAAGCTTCCAAAGAAGGAGCCTCCACCACACTCCGGGGCAGAGCGTTCCACTGCTGAACAGCTCTCACAGTCAGGAAGTTCTTCCTAATGTTCAGATGGAATCTCCTCTCTTGTAGTTTGAAGCCATTGTTCCGCGTCCTAGTCTCCAGGGAAGCAGAAAACAAGCTTGCTCCCTCCTCCCTGTGGCTTCTTCTCACATATTTATACATGGCTATCATATCTCCTCTCAGCCTTCTCTTCTTCAGGCTAAACATGCCCAGCTCCTTAAGCCGCTCCTCATAGGGCTTGTTCTCCAGACCCTTGATCATTTTAGTTGCCCTCCTCTGGACACATTCCAGATTGTCAATATCTCTCTTGAATTGTGGTGCCCAGAATTGGACACAATATTCCAGATGTGGTCTAACCAAAGCAGAATAGAGGGGTAGCATTACTTCCTTAGATCTAGACACTATGCTCCTATTGATGCAGGCCAAAATCCCATTGGCTTTTTTTGCCGCCACATCACATTGTTGGGTCATGTTTAACTTGTTGTCCACGAGGACTCCAAGATCTTTTTCACACGTACTGCTCTCGAGCCAGGCATCCCCATTCTGTATCTTTGCATTTCGTTTTTTCTGCCAAAGTGGAGTATCTTGCATTTGTCACTGTTGAACTTCATTTTGTTAGTTTTGGCCCATCTCTCTAATCTGTCAATATCGTTTTGAATTCTGCTCCTGTCCTCTGGACTATTGGCTATCCCTCCCAATTTGGTGTCGTCTGCAAACTTGATGATCATGCCTTCTAGCCCTTCATCTAAGTCATTAATAAAGATGTTGAACAGGACCGGGCCCAGGACGGAACCCTGAGGCACTCCACTTGTCATTTCTTTCCAAGATGAAGAGGAAGCATTAGTGAGCACTCTCTGTGTTCGTCCACTTAACCAATTACAGATCCACCTCACCGTAGTTTTGCCTAGCCCACATTGGACTAGTTTCCTTGCCAGAAGGTCATGGGGGACCTTGTCGAAGGCCTTACTAAAATCCAGGTACGCTACATCCACGGCATTCCCCGCATCTACAATGTTGCATAATGTGGACTATCCTGTTTCTAATGCTGCGAAGATGGAATTCCAAATCTATAAGTAATAACATGGTGGCACACATTTTATAGAAATGCAAAGCAGAAAGGCAAGCACCTACAGTGATCTGACTATAACTTAACACCATGTGTAAGTTTTATTAATAATACCTTTAAGAGCCTTCCTTTAACTTTAAGGTAATATTCTCCATCCTCACTTATTGTTTTGAGCTGTTTTACTTCTTTGCAACTTGTTGGCAATTCACCTAAAATAAAAAAGAAGAAGAACTAAGCATAGGAAGGAATGACTAACATTAAAAAAATCAAAATTTCACAATGTCAAATCTTGATTGGTACATTGAAATATAACTGTATATCTTCAAATCATTTAAAATGTTTTGATTGACTAGGAATGAATATGTTCAGTTATTGATTTGCTGCATTTATCTATGAATTTATTTTAGGTCACCAATTTGCCCAATAATTCTGAAGTTAAAAATAAACCATAACAAATTGGTGCCTCTCCCTTTGTCATCATAACTAAAGGTTTTAGGATAGGAGGAAATATATTTCATAACACTGTTGTTAGGAAGACAAATTATGCATGCTTCAGGGGGAAGTTTCTGAAGCCCAGCTTAGGACAGTAAAAGAAATAACCATTAATGAATAACCAATAATAAACCAGGTTGCTGTAAGTTTTTTCGGCCGTGAGTCGCCCTAGGGCTGAGAACGGCGGTCTACAAATGCAGTAAATAAATAAATAAAATATATGGCCATGTTCTAGAGGCATTCTCTCCTGACGTTTCGCCTGCATCTATGGCAAGCATCCTCAGAGGTAGTGAGTCATTAATAAACCCTTTTTCCTAGTTCCAACAGACCTCACTACCTCTGAGGATGCTTGCTATAGATGCAGGCGAAACATCAGGAGAGAATGCCTCTAGAACATGGCCATATAGCCCGAAAAAACCTACAACAACCCAGTGATTCCAGCCATGAAAGCCTTTGACAATACATTAATGAATGGAAAAAAAGAGTTTTGGAATAGAATGGGTTCAGGATGAAAGATGTGTTTGAAACTATCTGGAGTACAGTGACTCCTGTCAGTATTTTCCCTCTTCTATTGATTATATTCTGTTTTGTTTCTACTGTATATTAGAGCCGCATGTTATTGTACAAAAATCATAGAATTATAGAGTTGGAAGAGACCACTAAGGTAATCCAGGTTAAGAGCTCGAACACTGTTTCCATCCTAAATATCTCAGTGTCACCTTAGATCGAACACTAACATTTAGGAAACACAGTATGAATACCAAGTACAAAGTAACTGGACGCAATAACATCATTGGGAAACTTATTGGCAGCGTATGGGATGCAGACCCAAAATTAATAAGAACATCAGCCCTGGCCTTGTCTTACTCAACTGCTGAGTATGCCTGCAATGTTTGACACAAGTCTGTCCATGTGAAGCAGGTGAATACAACACTGAATGAAACATGCAGAATAATCACAGGATGTCTTAACCTACACCTGTTGATAAACTCTATAAGCTAGCTGGTGTGCTGCTAACTGGAAGAGAAATAACGTTGAACACTTAAAGCCACCCACTGTATAGCTATCAGCCTCCTCCCGATAGACTGAAATCAAGGAATAACTTCATGAGAACCACCACTCCTCTTAAGGTTCGTGAACAACAGCAAGTGCATCTTTCTGGGAGGCTAAACCAGAAAATCCCAATTGGCTGTCCCCCCCCCCCCCCCCCCCGAGGATCTGCGTCCAGGAGCAAACCAAGAGTGGGCAACTTGGAAGTCCCTGAACAGGCTCAGAAGTGAATTTGGCAGATCAAAAGACAACTTGGTAAAATGGCACTGCCAAGAGGAATCCTCTGTGGAGCAGAGCAAACAACTCTGCATCTGTAAGCTTGCCCACAATGCCCTGCCTCATGCACAGAGGCAGAATTGTTTAAAGCTACAGACAATGCGGTTGCTGTTGCCAGTTTTTATGCTCCCTCTATTTTTATTAGTTTTATACTTATTTATGCAATTATTTTGACACGAAATAAATAAATGCAGCCCAACTCCCTGCTGTACAGAAAAATAAAATCAATATATAATTATCATTATTGAATAATAATGCAGTGCAGTGAGTTGAAGTGAATTCTTTTAAAATCTCAATTTGCTCATATAGTACTATGCACCTAGATAATTAAGTAAAACTTTACCCATCTCCATTTTCTTTCTTCCTAACTTCTTCTCTCTCTCCCTCCCCTTCCCATTCTTCTTTTTACTCCCTCCATTTCTTGACTCACACCATTCAATTATACACTTAATGTGAGATGAGTGCAGGCATTAATAGGTTTATTAGACACATGGTTATCAATACTGAAGATGCCCCAGATTGGGATATCTGCCTCCTGCATGCAAAGCCACTTTGCAGAGCATACTGGAGTGGGGAGGCAGAAAGGATGCAATGATTCAGTTCTGAAGGAAAATATTGTACATATGCTTAGAGACTCAAAGCATTTTAAGAATTCAACGCTCCTGCTTAATTGACCGATCTTTGTAGCTATTCACTCATTGCTGTACTTGCAATGGATCAATGCCCTCCAACTGAAATAAATCACTCTTTATTATCCTTTAACAAACAAGACATTTGAAGAGTGAGTGAAGTGTAATGTGTTGATGGGAATGGAAAAGAAAAGAGAGATGCAGATGTGTAACAAACCGAACTGAAGAGGACATGCTGCATTTCCAGTGCTTGCAGGCAATGTTCATATTATGGGATTTATAGCCCATATGGGGAAAATTTTAAGTTGGAAAAGAGTGCTATTAGAAGAACAGAATGAGTCATTTTGGAAAGAGCCAATAACAAAATGTGCTTCCTTGAGGTCAACAGTGTCAAACTCCATACTATTCCCAGTACAAGGTCTTCATCAATTCTAACAGTTGAAAACAAGGAATTACAGAATATTAAACAAATTAAAACAATTTCAATTATTGGCAATGAATTATTTTCCCAATTTCTAAAGATTAATTAAATTTATTTTCAAACCTAATATTTCAAACTGGTCTTACCTAACATAATCACTATTATTCTGCACCATCTACATTTTTGACTTCTCTTAAATGGATTCTAAAATACAGGTTGACTGGGAAATGGCAAAATAGAGATGGGATGTCTGCCTTAAGAAAGATGCATTTTGTCTCTTTGAGAGTAAAAAGAATGGCAGGAAAAAGAGAGGAGCCGAGAGAAGTGGTGCCTGCCTTAAGAACAATGCCTTCTCTCTCTCTATGGATGGCTGAACTAGAGGTGGGAAGAGGTGATCCTGTGTGATGGGGTAAATTCTCCATCTTCTTTAAAGATGGAATCCCATGCAGAGAAGACAATTTATCCTGCTTTCCCCCATTTCCTCCAGCTCCATTTGATGAAGTCCTTAGTGCTGAGCCAAAGCCTCTTTTTATCTCTCCAAGCCCCTTTTTTTCCTATTGATTTCTCCAAATTCCCTTTCCTTTTCCTTCCTATCAATATATTTCCAAAATCTTTCTTTTTTCTTCCTATTGATCTTTCCAAGCCCCTTTCTTTTTTCTTCCCAATTTATCTCTCCAAACTTCCCTTCCCCTTTCTTCCTATTGATATTTCTCCAAGTTCCCTTTCCTTTTTCTTCCTATAAAGATCTCCATCCATGTATCTTTCTAACCATCCCCTCATCTATGCCTGGCACTACTTTTAATTGCCTTGGTTCAATGCTATGCAATGCTGGGATTTGTAGTTTAGTGAGGCAGCAACATTCGTTGGCAGAAAAAGCTTCAAGACCTTGTAAAACTACACCTCCTAGGATTTCATAGCAATGAACCAGAGCAGTTAAAGTGGTGTCAAACTGTATTCATTCCAAAGCATTAATATATCCTAAGGAAGCTGAGGAAGGATAAGCAGGAGAGGGAGGGTTATCTATTTATTAGGCTTGTGTACTCATTTGTTTTGGTCAGTTCCCTTCAGCCAATCCGGCTTGGCCGGATGGCCGTAATGGTAAGTGCTCAGCCATTAGGTTTTTCGTCCATAACGGGACCATGTGGCAGCCAGTCATGGCTTCTCCTCCTCTATTTGGTACCACATGGTGCACAGAGAGGCTGCTGTGTGCTGCTTGCATGTGTTTCCCTGTGAGCCCTGCCTGTTGGGCCAATCGGAATAGAAGAATGTCGTGATGTGTCTTACACAAGTTTTGTCAGCGAACACCTCCATTGCTCTCAGTTGTGCCCTGGCTCTAGAGAGGAGCTTCAGCCTTGCCACTCACTCTGAGCTTTATTTTTGACTTGGCTTGGCCACTCTCTAGCATTGAATCTTTTGGTTTTTCCTTTTATTTTCCTATATTTTCTTGATTCTTTTTATTTAGTGGGACTAACTGGGAGTTGGTAATGTATGGGATGGGATGGGTGGGTAAGGTTCATACACATTTTGGGGCCTGCTCTGAACCCCTAAGACTTAAAATAATATGCTCCAAAAACATGTTTTTCCCTAAACATGGCTAGATTTTCCCCAATACATTTTGAAAATTTTTCCCCAGTGGATCATACAGCAGTATTTGTTCTAATAAGGGGACAATGCTTGCTCTGATTGTTGCTGGTGCCCTCTTCCAGTATGTTTTATGAGAACAAGATGCAAAAGCTTTGGAAGAAGTTGCTTGCTGTTGTTTTTTACTAGTAAAAAAGAAAGTGTAATAGTGAAACTGGGTGATGTGGAAGTGCATCTTTGACATTTCGCAGGAAGGAATGGTGCTCTGCTGCTGCTACTGCTCCTGGACAAGTTATAGGGTGGGGCCAGCAGTGGGATACCTTTTGGGGAATGTTTAAAGGAGATTTTATTTTTAAAAAGAAAAGAAATTCCTAAAAATCAGGGTATGATCCAAATGTTATGAAATATGGTGGGCTGACAATCGATGTGTCTTCCAAGTGTGGCCATTTTCACCTCAATAAGTCTAAAATGGATGGGAAGGGGACCCTGGGAATCCCCCCCCCCCCCAATTAGCGCCAATGGGCTGGATCTAGCTGCATTTTTCAGCTGCAGTCCGAAAATGGCTATCCGGCTACCCACCCGGTTTTGGGAGACGCATGAAAACAGATACAAGGGTCTACCGGAATCCAGCCAGCAGAAACGGATTGAAGTTCAGCCAAAATGCACAAGCCTACTATTTATATGGTTTTTCTTTCCATTGTTTGGAAGCTTTGGTGTTCTAACACTTTTGTTTTTTAAAAAGGAATTCTAATCACACAGGAATCATAATGTGCACCAATTGTGCTGCTGCATTGCTCCCCTTGCATGCCAGCCATTAGCACACACCTATTTCGACTTACGTCCAAATTCAACTTAAGAACGAACCTACAGAACCTATCTTGTATATAACTTGGGGGTTTCCTGTAGTTTAGACTATATTGCTATATCTGATTTTTTTTTCTGTATAAATTAAAATATAGCATACATGGTGGTCTTTCTTCCAAACACTGAATGAACTCTAAGCCTGTTTAGTGTGAGCAAAGGTGCATTGCATGCACCATGTGCCTTATAGTTATGAACTGGGAACTTAAATATGTTAACTTGCCAGATAGCATATTAATGGCTATTTTGAGTACCTTTTGTGATGTCCCTAATCTGCTGCAGGGCATCTACTTAATATACTGCAAAAGTAATATCAGAATTTTCAATTTCAGATCATTTGGGAGAAGACCGAATTCAGCTTTTTCCAAAATCAGCACTGTCTCATTTTCTGGGAGACACATGACTAGTATAGGTGAGATTAACATTGCAGACAATGCAGAAAGAAATTACATCATTATAATGACTCTCACTCCCAGTTTTCCTTGCAGAAGAAATGAATTTTTCTTATCTAGTTTCACCCTATGTCCTAGGAAATGATTCTAGAAAAAAATACATATGGACTTTTTTTGCATGAAAATTGTATGTTTTGCATACAACCCCCACCTCATTTCTTGAAATATGCCTTTTTAGATGCAAAATATGAAAAAGAAGCATTTTGCACAAATAACTATGTTTTTGGATACAATGATTTTGTGTGTATGTCAGATGGTTTCTGTGTTATTTTCTTGATTTGATTTCCTGAATGTAAAGAAACCATTTTCAGCCAGGAAATGAGAATATTCTTTAGAGTTCATAATCCCTGTTGGATCAGGTTTGCACCATCATGGGAGTGTCTTTTTCTTGGAGATATTTAATTATCTTTCAGGAGTGCTATAGTTTGTATTCCTACATGATAGGGAACTGGACTAGATGGTCCTTTATACTCCTTCCAGCTCCAAGATTCTAAGATTTCATGGAAATCATTAGCAAGGATCCTTACAGTCATGAATATTGTGGCATCTCCTCCTTTCTCCAGGTTTCAGATCTTCAAGGCACAAAGTGCTTGGTTGGTCATTGTTTGTAAGGCACTGAACTGACCGGTGCATTACCCCAATTCCACAACTCACGGAACACTGCAAAAACAAAGGAAATGAAATGCAAATGGTTATCACACTAATTAAACTGTAATCGCAATACTAAAAAATAAAACTTAAAAAGAAATAAATGCCAATAAGGATGATACAGGATGTGCACTAATTTGATATGTGTTTTGCAAAATTTAAGTCTCCGAAGCCTGAATATTAAGGAAATAAACATTTTATGTAGAATAAAAAGTAATGTGTCTTTTATAAAAAAAAATACTATTTACCAACTAGTTCTAGGTACAAAGTTATCTAAACTGAAAATAAGAGACACAGCTTGTATAGAGGAAATAAGAGACAGCTTGTAGAGGAAAAATAGCAAATGGGTGATCAGAATCTAGAGATGAAACGAAAAAGGTATGCTGCATTTGATACAAGCAGCTTTAGGGAGCCTGACACATCTGTCTAATGGATGCAATCTTCTATAAGTATAGTGGTGGCCCATGATTGGTCATTGAATGAATTCAAACAGAGTCCCAATAAGATCTTATTTCTGATTGGACTGGAGAATTTTTGTTGATATTGATCGGCATTAGTCAACTTTATTCCACAATAGTTGATAAGGACATTTAATGAACTTTTCTGATAGGTGGAGATAACACCTAGCAAGGGCTAAGGACAATATTAAAAAAGAGTTATATTGTTTACACAGTCTCCAGCCCAGTCAGGTCTTGCAATCTATGGTACCTTTTATGCTGCTGATGAGTTCCTGGGTGGTTAATTCCCCAAGAGTGTTGGTAAGAAAGAGTTCAGGAGAACCTCTTCTCCAAATATCGCAGGCTATATTATAGGCAGTATAAATATACACTCTAAATATGGTAGTGCACATATTAGCAACCTCTAGACTGGATTTCTGCAATGAGCTGTACATCGGGCTACCTCTCCACCAACTTCAGAAACTTCAGTTAGATCAAAACAAGGCAGCTAGATTGGTTACTGATAAATCTAAGGGTGATCATACTAGACCAATATTAAAATCATTCCACTGGCTGTGAATTGGTTTCCAATCAAGGCACAATGTGTTAATTGTTACCTTTAAATCCCTTTGTGGTATGGATGCAGGTTACTGCTAGTACTCTCTTATATTATATAATCTGTGAGTATTAAATTATGTACTGATTGTTTTAATATTTATTGATTTTATATGTACTTTTAAACTGATTGCATGTGCTTTTAGAAGTTTATGTGTTTTTAACTGATGTACATTTTAAACTTATGATATGTATTGTATTTTAATATGTTGCTTTTCCCTGCCTTGAACAAAAGGAGGAGGCAGGTAGGGAGAAAACAAAACAAAGCAAAGCAAAGCAAACAAATAATTAAGTACTATTTTTGAATCAACATATATAGATGTCTGCTAGAGTTAAAGCAGATGGGATCGAACATACGTTTATATGGATCATATGACTGCTATTTAAGATGTATAATTATGTACAGTTCTTTAAGTATGCGGCTGCCTATAGTTATGCACAATGTGTGAAGCCTTATGTGACATGTAACATCAATATACACTAAGCTTTGTATCTAGACAATAAGATATTCTGCCTTTGTTAGACCACACCTGGAATATTGTGTCCAATTCTGGGCACCACAATTGAAGAGAGATGTTGACAAGCTGGATGTGTCTGGAGGAGGGCGACTAAAACGATCAAGGGTCTGGAGAACAAGCCCTATGAAGAGTGGCTTAAGGAGCTGGGCATTTTTAGCCTGAAGAAGAGAAGGCTGAGAGGAGATATGATAGCCATGTATAAATATGTGAAAGGAAGTCACAGGGAGGAGGGAGCAAGCTTGTTTTCTGCTGCCCTGAAGACTAGGATGCGGAATAATGGTTTCAAACTACGAGAAAGGAGATTCCATCTGAACATGAGGAAGAACTTCCTGACTGTGAGAGCCATTCAACAGTGGAACTCTCTGCCCCAGAGTGTGGTGGAAGCTCCTTCTTTGGAGGTTTTTAAACAGAGGCTAGATGGCCATCTGTTGGGGGTGCTTTGAATGCAATATTCCTGCTTCTTGGCAGGGGGTTGGACTGGATGGCCCATGAGGTCTCTTCCAACTCTATGATTCTATGATTCTATATATTAGTTATGTGTTTGTTCATTCTAATAAACATCTGAAAGGATTATTAAGCAACCTGATCCTTCTCTCATATTAAAAATCCTCATATTAAAATATTAAGAGTGCTTGAATGGAGTTTGATGCTAAATCTGTCTGTATTTTATTATTGCTCATACGTTGGGAGTTGTGATATCTAGGTGATGAGAGGCGATCCAAACAGATGTGGCTTAGCTGCCAAATAAGAACAAACACTTAATCTAAAGTGATAGGGGTGTGGAACTATGCCTGTTTCAAGGATATATCCACAGCAGTATTCATTATTTGCCCTTCTCGTATGTGCTAGCTTTTTAAATTCCGACACCAGTCCTTGTGCATACCATATTCAGTGGTATGTAACATGGAACTCTATTCTACAGGCCCAACTATGTACAAAGATAGTTTGGGATCTACTAAGGCTTACATTTTTTTGTTTTAGAAATGTAAAAATGAGGAAGGAGAATCATGTTTTTCAAGTTTGGTAACTGTCCTACTCCATGCTAAAACTGGAACATATACAACTTTCTCTGGGGTATGAATTGGCAGAAGGATTTATTTGGTGGCTCAGGCACATCCATATACCCTTTGAAAGCAGAGAATGTTGAAGGCAAGCAACTCTATTGGTTTTTAAGCAACTGCTTTTAAACTGTATATAAACTGATTTTAATGTTTGTATATATTTATGGTTTTATGTCACGGCACTGAATGTTTGCCGTATATACACCCTGCGGGGTGAGAAGGGCAGAATATAAATGTTTTAAATTTAATAAATAAATAAATAATCTCTCTTAAAATACAACAGATCTTTCTGGAAAGAAACCCACAAATAAATTGCATATAAAGGACTGGGCAACTAAGCCCAGATACTAGGATAAACTGCAGAGTGCAGGAGATGCTGGTGGTATGTTAAAGAAAATAATTTGCATAACAAAGAAACTCAGCTGCTACACACATACCACAGCTTATGAATACACGTGTTTGGGACCAAGGTGTTAGATAACACTTCCCAAAAACAGCATTAATGCGATCTCTGCAACAGGTTTGACTTGACAAGGTAGTTGTACTGAGGACAACAGAGATAGGGTCATTCCCCAGGCCAAGGCAGCTGCCAGTTCTCCCCAATATTTCCAAAACAAGAAGGTGCTCCCAATAACTGAGAGAAAAAGTGTATAAAATCTCGGCATCTCAGCAAGCTCGGCTGGCTATGCTGTCTGGGGCATAGAGCTGGAAAAATATTTTACCAAGTTCTGAGAGTGTGTGCAATTTATGAATTCTTCATCTCTTAACCTATAAAACAGTTATTAATTGTGATATAGCCGTAACACTTTTCCCTAATTCTCGGCCGATCCCTTACACTGTTTGCCACTTGAATCCCAGGTATTAGGTCAGAGTTATGAATCACAAAGACCTCTATGTGTTTCTCAACAGTAAGTCCCAGAAGTTCCAATCACTCAACCAATGGAGAAGAACATGAGGACTTGCTGTACATAAACAGCTAAAAAAAAGAGGATTTCTAGTGGTCTATGTGTTAGGAGTGAGATAACCCCATTTTATTCTGATGGAAACCTCCCTTGTTTGAAGTGCAAAGATGTGGAGGACACTTCTATTTCTGAAGCAGTAATAATTACAGAAAGAAAATAAAAGGCTTTACTAACAAAACACTGTCATACTGATTGCCTCACATTTTCAGTACAGAAGGCTCCCTTTGAACACAATCTATAAAGATGTATAACAACAATAGCAACCCAAAAATATGCACAATAACATGAAGCTAGGTGAATATCTGTCTTAGAAGTAGGAAGCTCATGTAGACTCTTTCAGAAAAGCTCTTTTCTAAAGTTTCTAATGTCAAAATTTATTTTTGTACCCAAGCAATACAAAGAATTGGTCACAGCAAGATTAGATCCTTTTGAACTCCACACAAACACCAGAGGCATTCCAATTGTGTTAAAAGGAAAGGAAAATGTATCTGTGACACTGAAAGTACAATTTCTGTGATTATTATTTTTCAGTAGAGAAATTCCATTGCTCCTAGCACAAAGGACTATTGGAAAGACCACAATAGTCCAAAATACAAAATACTGAAGGGTCATAAGAGTGTCTTCAGTGCTTCCCTTCTTTATCTTCCTCATTCATTCAGTGCTAAGAGTTTTCATTATGGAAACTCTTATGGGTGAAGAAAGAAGAATTATGACCACTGAGAGTATGACTTCTATGTTGTGAATAAAAATTTTCGAAGCCACTCCAATTAGTGAAGGTACAACAGCGAATGGCAAATTTTAGTTTCAGTATCTGGTGAGCAAGTAAGATTATGCCTTGTACATGTCAAAGAAGGTTGTCACCATTATTGGGTACTGATCAATATATTAAGAAAGACTAGGTGAATAATAAAGTGCGTAGCAATGGGAATAGATTACAGGGCAGTACAAGATAGACAGAGAAATGTAAGACAGCAAGGTACCCTAATGAACTCTTTCACAGCCACATTTCTTTTAAGACTAGGGTGGGACAATAGACAGGGGTTTTACTGCCCTTGACCCATCACTAAGACACAGCTATGCTCCACAGCCTCCCAGCGGTTCCGGTGCTTCATCTTAGAAACTTACCTTCCACTATCTATGATCTTGGCCTTTGAATTCTTAACACACAGTGAGCCACACATTACAATTAATCATGAATAGTTTTTTGAAAATAAGATTAGAAACATACACTTCCCCAATTTCCAACTCTCCACGATGCCAAAACTGGGCACTCGCCTAGATAGCATGATTGCACATTGGGTGGTTGTGTGCCTGGACAGTTGACGGTGTTCTGATAACCATATTCATAATGATCCTTCCCTGTATAAATTTCACTGCAGGAAACCAGCCTCTGCTTGTAGCCTTTGCCGCATGTCACAGAGCACTGGAAGGAAAAGAAATTGAAATGGTTTGTGGTCATATTCAAAGTAAGGTATTTTTTAACAAGGCATTAAATATCTCCTGCTGCCCAACATTCTTGTATTATCTACCAACTGTGAAAATTTATGAGCAGGTTGAGTGTATTTTAGTCTTCCGCAGCTTGGCTCTATTCAAATATTTTCCAATCGACAATGTCTGTCATTGCTGACCATGTCTTCATTAGCTGGAGCTGATAAGAGTAATAGGTCAATATAACCGGAAGGATTCAGGTAATTAGAGGCTGATGCCAGAGCTCAGGGATAAAAAAAATCTTTTGAGGACTACAATTCACAGGATTGTCATTTATGGAAACTGTAGTCCAAAAAATATAACTTCTCTAAACTAGAGCTAGAAAACTGGCTGTGAAAGAAATCTAGCATATTCTCTTTGCCTTTGCTGCTCTCACCAACTCAGTACAGACTCTGATCATGAGAGGAAATATTGCAGGTTAGTACTGGCTCAGATGTCCTGTGGTTCATCAACAGTCTAAGGCCAGTGAGTGTATGAGCCACAGACTGTAATCTGAAAATAAGCCTTCACAGGAAATACTTTCAAAGGATGCCAAGCAAAAAACAGTGTAAAGTGGTTGCTGAAAGAAGCAGCTGAAGATCTGTGTGTGGTGTCAGAAGAGAGCGTTCTTTCACTGGATGCACACATCCCCTTCTTTCAGCATTGTGAACTAGGAACAGTAGAGTTATACTTGTGACAATGCCTTGTTTCACAAGGAAGGCAGTATCACATGGACTTAAATCAAGCATTACTGAACTTCAGTAGCTAAAACAAAATAATGTGCATTGGAATATGATATTGGCTTTGATATTACTATACGGGAAAATGCACCATTTCCAGTACAGGGTGAGCAAATTGAAGAAAAAGTGATAGACCACTCTGATGGGAAACCTTTTTCACCTCAACAACTGAATTCAGTTTCAGAGAGGTTGTTGAGGCTGCATGTCAATGATCAGCAGGGACAAAGGCAACAGCGGTGAGGAGTAAAATATCAGAATATTTTAGCTTTAAGTTCTAACTTTAGAGCAGGTACTTCAGACTTTTAGATTGGTGAAAGCCCTGTGTAAAAAAAAGATCAGCCACCTGGAAAAGGGGGGCACGGCAGTGTAAGAAGAACCAGAGACCCAAATGGGACCCTTTATGGGACTCCATAAAGACTTCCCAATCCCCACTTGTCATCAAGTTCTGTAACTTGTATTTTCCCCTTAAACTATTTCATCACTATGACTTTGTTTTATTTATTTATTTATTTGCCATATTTATGCCCTGCCCTTCTCACCCCAAAGGGGACTCAGAGCAGCATTTACACATAGACAATGATTCAATGCCATAGAAACAACATACAATTATTTTTTTAAAAAAATAACATTAAAACCAAATAAATTAAAACATCTAAACATCACACCAATTGTTTTAACCATGCAGTCCAACATCATAATCTGGAGCCATTCCAGTTGTCATTGCACATATTCTGTATTAATTTATTGCACTACAATTACTATCCAAAGGCTATTCCTTTCTTTCAAAATCACCACTAGGCTAATTTGAGATGATTAGAAAATGTTTAAGAAAATGCTCCTTGTTTTATCATTTATTCTGGAATCTCTAGACAATTTATTTAGAAGAGTAGTGCAGAAATATACAAGAACATTGAACCAGGGCAGTGGGAGATGAAGGACTTGAATGCCCACTCAGTTATCAAAACATCCTGGATAACCTTAGGCAAGTCAGTCTCTCAGATAGAGAGTAACCCTTCTGTTGAAAGATTCTTGATAGGAAAATCCTATGATAGGATTACTATAAGTAGATGTTGACTTGAAGTCATGTAACTGCTATTACTTCTTCTCAACTGAAATACATAGCAATTAATAGAACATTCTCAAGTAATCCATATTTAGAACATAGGGAAAGCTAGTTTGCTCATGCAAATGAACAATGGTTTTTCACAATCTCCTTTCTGGTGCTATATATCTGTATGCATTGTCTCTTTTTTTATAATTCAGTCCTCTTCAGCACCTCAGTTTCCCCTTTTATGCTAGGTCAGCAATAGTGCCATCATTTTCCTTCCAGGTGTGAAATGCTCCTTCATATGATGCAGAAGGAACAGGTCAGGATCGGTCTGTTTCCTCCTGTGTTCAGCTTTGGTGACAATTGAAAGCAGCTGATTTCCCTTGACAGGTATGCTCAGTGTTGTGGGGCAGAAATGCCAGTTCAAATTTGTTCAAAAAGTATGAATCCAACCCTGATATTTATGAGAACAAATGATTATTTTTTTACTTGTCAGCCAGTTCCTTAAAACCTTTCTCTCCTACTCCAGGTTCTTATTGATTTTTCACTTCATACAACAACAGGACCCTACACTTCTTGACAACAGCAGAGCCAACTATGGACACATCTTTGGATCACAAAACACAACAAGCTAATTGTTATTTCTGCTATTATCAGTTGAAACCTGCATGCATATATGCTTAAATTAGAGCACAGATTTCTCAGTTAATCCTGAGTACACTATAAATCACTGGTGGAAGGAGGAGAGAAAAGGGAAGAAGTATAAAAGAAAGGGGAAAAGAGGCAGAGTGACAGCAAGGCCATACTGAAATCTTGTGCTTTTATGAGCCCTCTGCCCTTTGGGAACAAATGCTTTAGAGCACAGCCAACAAATCAGGCACCACAGTTGCTCTGATGATTATGAATTTAATTCTAGTGAGCAGCCATGAGAAGGCTTTGGTCTTTTTAAAGCTTGGTCTGTTTAGTACCTGCTTCCAGTGGGATTGCCATAACTGACGAGATCTTGGGCATGATGCCCTGTGGGGTCTACTCTGACACATCTCACCCCACCTTATTGCCCTAGGTTCTGGCTTCCCCTTTCTAAAAAGAGAAAGAAATAGAGAAATGTGGGAGAAAGAAAGGTAAAAGGAGTTCTTTTCACCTCCTCCCTAACTTCCCAGATGATGAGAAAGGAACAAATGAAAATGTTATGAAAACATTTCATAGAATTAGTGGCACCACATGTTACAATTTTGTTGAAAGAAAAAAAAAACCTTCTCATTATGTTCTTGTGGCACCAATTAGTTGGCTTCTTCCCTGCTCTTTTTCAAAAATACACACACACACACACACACACACACACATTATGGCTGGCTACCATGGTGTGATGTTTTTTAGACTACTGCTTCTCACACTTAGGTCTTCCAGATGTTTTGCAATTCACCTCCCAGAATCCATCATTATTTGCCATGCTGATGGAGGTTCTGGGAGTAAAAAATGGCTGGAGGACCAAAGCTTGAGAACCCTTGTTTTAAAAAGTTAAACACAATGGCTTCATTCCCAGAGTTACTATGAAAAAGCAATCTGGGAAATGAAAATGACAGGTATGGCTCTCTGCAGCTTTGTACCACAGAAGAGCAGCTACTCTACTAAAGACAGTTAAAAACAATATTCTGATGACCTTTCCTAAATTGTTCACCCTGTATATTTAGTCTATGGGGCTTTGAACTGACACCACCTAGATCCCAGCATCACCATAGCAGGTCTTCCTTCTCTTTGTAACTTCACAGCTTTGGATGTCATTCTTCATTCCCCTGATCTATTTATGTCAGTTATAATACTGGCCAAAAGGGAATAGCTTGAACAGAGTTTTTAAAAAACCAGGACTGGAAATTTTTATTAAGGAGTTGCAAAAGTTGCATCAGAAAAGTGGGAAGCCACATTTGATTTAAAAACAAAAAAAACAAAAAAACCTAAAGGGGATGTGGGTAAATGGCTTTTAGGGAATTATTTTATTTTGTTAGCATAGGGTGTGGGTTGTTCTATTTACTTAGTGGCACAGGAAAGTCATTCTGCATCTGTTCAACATAGTAGAAAATGCACATTTATTACATTTTTACGGCAAGCCTTGATATAATCTGTGGACACATCTGGGCCATGATTCAGTGGCTGTCTAACATTTTGGCCAAAGTCTTGTTCAATGCTGGAAAAATATAATGTTTATGCAACTAAAAATACTGGTGGTTGGCTCTGGTGTGTCTGTGACTTTCAAGTTTATTTTGGTGGCCATTCTGTTCCTGGGATTTCAGAGCAAAGCCAAAAACACATGTCATATTGCACTAAGGTTAGGTGAGGAATCACTTACATAAAGATGCATTGAATACAATGTGATGCTGGTCTTTGAACAGTACAATAATTGGTAGTAAGTTAACAAAAATGTAACAGTCCAAAATGCCTTTTTTACTGTGTTTTCCCTACTGCCTGACTTTTCCACTGCTCATGATAAACTTTTTGACTTTTGAAGAGATTCATGTTTCCTAGAAGGACCTAGAAATGAAGTCTAGCACTGCTGCCCAGGTTTCTGCAAAGGCTTTTTTCTGTTTCATGAGAACAAAGTAATCTTCTTCAGGGCCAAGGAGCTTCCAGACAAACATGGATTTCTGGGACTCTTGATTCCTACTTCCAAATAAGGCAAGCCAAAATACTAGTTTGAATCAAGTTAAGAAGAGAGGAAAAGCACTGTTAGATAATAAAAGGAGATGATCTGTAACTCTGTTGCCAGCTGAAGCTACTTTGATTTGTAAATATTATGATCAACATCTGCAATCATACATGTGGCCAAATTCTAGATTTTGTCTTCTCTTTCCATCCAAGATTTTTTGGAAACTGGGACCATTGAAATCTTGTCTGTGCAGTAAAAATACCACAGCTATTTGTTGTATCTCCCAATTTGGTTTTGATTCTGTTTCAGTATATTACTGCACCCCTTCCTAGATTTGTAGGACCCAAAGATGGTAGTGCACACACTGGTAACCTCAAGTTTGGGCTTCTGCAATGTGCTTTATATTGGGTTACCTTTGTAATAAGTTTGGAAACTCCAGTTGGTTCAAAATATGCCAGCCAGATTAGTTATAGGAACATTCAGGAGACAACATATTACACACATACTAAAGTCACTCCACTGACTGCCAATTAGTTTCTGGGTAAAGCACAAAGAATTGGTTTTGACCTTTAAAGCCCTACATGTTTTGGGTCCAGGTTACTTTCAAGATCGCTTTCTCCTGTACCATTTCGCCCAAATACTGAGGTCCTCTGGGAGCGGCTACTCCAACTAGCCAGAACTAGACTGACAACTCTCACCCAGAAGACATTTTCATTGGCTTCCCCAAGACTATGGAATGACCTGCCAGAAGAGCTCAGACAGCTAAATATGCTGTAAGAAAAAAAACAAACATCTAAAGACCTAGCTCTTCTGGCAGGCCTACCCAACCAGTTTTAATCACACATCTTATGTTTAATCTGTGTTCTGTGTATTGTAATATGTATTTTCTGCTGCTGTTACTACTACTACTACTAATAATAATAATATTAATAATAATAATAACAACAACAAGAAGAAAAAGAACACGAAGCATCACCATCGCCATCATCATCACCATCACCACCATCATCATCATCATTATCATCATCATCATCATGGATTGAATCTTTGAGCACTTCCCTCTTTCAGGCTTGCTGATAGTCCACAATACCACAATCCTCATCTATATCCCACCTTTTTCCAAACTAGAACTTCTAGTTTCTGTGAGCTGCATCCCCATGCAATGTTCCAGTTGTTGCTACCTATTCTACATAATCATCCATTGACCAGCTGAACAAGTGGAATATGCTATGCTACTGTCTCAGCTTTGACGCTATTTGCATGCTTGGAGAGAAATGTAAACAAATAGAGACAGTGAGAACAGTAAGATTATCCAGGATCTGTAGGGATGTAGACCTTGGCAGACAAACAGTTACTCTTGCTTTTGATGCAAATCTTTGCTGCAATAATAAACACTGATAATATTTTTAAAACAACAATGCTCCATATCTGAATGGCAAACAGAGGCATTAACAGTGCTTATCCCACAATCACAGAACTCCTTTCTATCATAAGCTAGCAGGAAGTATACTCTGAAGATTTCTTTATCCACTGTTCTGTCTCAAGTCATAGTTTCTCTTCTCAAAGTCCGTTTAAAAAAATAAATCATGGTATTTTAAATATATGTTCTTAACAGTTATGCAAAGACATATGCAGCCTCCCACAAAAGGTTGAACACACATACCTCTGACCAATCTCCAGTAATCCAAATGTATTCACAAGGTGGTAAATTGCAGGCTTCAATTTCAGTTGGCCTTTTGCTTGGATCACAATGAAGACTGTCTACTTCTTGTGTATTTTGATCCACACAGAACACTTTACGGTATCTGGACCCTTCACCACAGGTTTTGCTACACTGTAGAAACAGAGATTGGAATAAGAGAGAACTTGAGATTGTGTGTCAGCACCAATACAACTACTGTAGGAATGAAATAAATAAATAAATTGTCTGATGTTGTCCATGAGAGTACTGTACAGTGGAGCTGCCCTGGATGCAGCATGGAAGCATCCCTTGAGTCCCTTGGTCTCCAGATGATTGGCTAGGCTAAGAATGCATTAGGGCCAAGGATGCTATTTTGTTTCACTGGCTAACAACAGCTCCCTAGCAGGAGCTTCCTGATAACTTCTGATTATGTCACAACAAGGTGTCCAGCCAAGTGACCAGCAGCAGTGACATCACCAACAAGGTTCTGTTGGGAAGCTACTTTTAACAGGTGACACAGCAGAGCTTATGTCTGATGTGTGGACACTGGATCTGCCCAATCTTGATCCAATCTTGTATCAAACACCGGGATGGCTCCAGGACTTCTTGGAAGTGCCCAAGTAAAATGCAGTTCATATTACATTAGACAAATGGCTGGAAGCAGCACTTCTGCTGCAAAACCAGCCATACATCATGTAGACTCCTTGCAGACCATTTTATTTGGCACATGTAAGCATGTTCTTAGTCTATGAAACTTTATGCTACCAACTTTATTCTCTCAGGTCACCTTAGAAATGCAATAAGTTCCCTTTGCATACAGATATTCCAGATAACATGTTTATGTATTTGATAATATTAGAGTGAATAGAAAGTTTCTGATCGAGAAAAATCATTTATATCTGTCCCTAAAGGCTATTATTGGCATCCTTTAGGAATAAACACAATTACAACAACAACAACAGCAAAGCAAACATTAAAAAAAATAGCTACAGCTACTATTATCTTTTTAAAATAATTTAAATGTCTACCTTATTGATTCATATGGCAAGATCCATACATCTCTAATACTCATTGTTATTTCTACAGACACCTTTACCTCTGACTACATTTGCAGGCCTATTGGGTAGAATTTATCCAGTAGGCACAAGAGGGTGAGGGTAGGGAAGGGTAAATCTGCTGGAGATGAGTGGATTTCCCAAATCTGAGAATCTGATAGAAGGAATTATATAACATTATTAAGCTGATGTGTCTTTTCTGGGACAGCTCCTTCCCAATGAGCATTCAAGATCTGATCTACAACCTCATCAGATGGGGCTGAATTCAATGGCATATGCTGATTCCTCTTCAGCTTAGCTACAGAAACCATCGGCTCCCATCCCATGACATACAGCTACTTCTGGCAGGAATCCATGGCTAAAATGAATCCAGTAAGGCTTCCTGTGTAACATTAGCAGCAATGAGAGGAAGCCGGATGGAAGGCACTTCCTCCTGTGGAATAGGGTTAAGTGTAAGTCAGGTGGTGTGGGCTGTGAGGTGACGTGTTCCCCCACTGGACATTGCAGGGGTCACCACAGTCCGTGGCAATTTCGCCCACCAATGTGATAAGGACAAAAGTCCTGCTCTGCAGCAGGATTTCATTTCAAGTGGATGACTCAATCCATCCTCTCCCCCTTGCTGAGTTAACTTAGGGAATATCTACACTGTAGAATTAATGCAGTTTGACACCATTTTAACTATCATGACTCAATGGTATGAAGTTCAGGGAGTTGTAGTTGGGTGAGGCACCAATACTCTTTGGCGGAGAAGCCTAAAGATCTTGGGAAACTATTACTCCAATGATTCCACAGCATTGAGCCATGACAGTTGAAGTTCAGTCACACTACATTAATTCTACAAGTGTAGGTGCACCCTTAGTGAGAACTACTTTTACACTTTCAACTCAGTTTGCAGGAACTGAATTAAGATGGGACAAAGGGAAGAAGTGGGAGGAGGTGATAGAAACTGGGACATTTTTGAAGTGCCTCAAAAGTGGAACAGAAGGGGATTAATTAGGACTATCCATACCAAACTGAGATAGTTGGAATGCATAATATTTTCTAATGGAATTTTTCCTAGCATAGACTATTAAACTGTCATGTAGAAATTTACTCTGCTTTTTTTTAAATGAAGTACATCAGTATAAGCATTCTAATATTCTCCAATGACTGTAAATAAGAGCAGAGGAAACAGACTCAGGAAAGGAGCGAGGTTCAAGTTTAGGCATTAATGAGGTTGTAACCTTGTTTCCAAAAGAGTCTTTCACATCTGCAAGGATTTACTACCAGCAAGTTCAATTCAGTCTGCACCTCATATCTCAATAAATAAACTTGCAAACTATTTCCAAGGGAGATGCGGTTCCCCCTCCTCCTTTGCTTTTGCAGCCCATCAACCAAAGCAACCCCTTCTCCCAAAGAAAAGGGGAGGCATAAACTGAATATTGAGATATAAAGGATTAAGCGTGCAAGGTTGAGTCTGTCATTTAATATCTTTTTGTGAGGGATAAGATATAAAGGTTTTTGCAAGGGATTTTCCCCCCTGAGAAAAGAAATACATTCCTTGTAGTCCATTCTGTCACATGTTTGAGATTTACACAGCATAGACACAGACACACACAAACAGCACAGGGGGAGCCTGGAAAGCTTTACAAAACCAGCGTGACCCATCAAACATGCACCTCCCACAAAAGGGTGGGCAGTATGTGGGAGGGGGAAGGGGTATCTAATGCTTTCCAGTTGTGGAAAGTTATAACTAAAAATGAGGAGAAAGAGACAGAGAGAAAGAGAGAGAGCAAGCAATACAGGGCAGAAGCAATTGTTTTGGAGGCTAACCACTCCAGTTGGGTAAGTCTGGCAAAATGCATACTATTCAATGACTTGATTTTCAAATAGCAGCTATGTGTGCTGTCTGAATGAGTTTTGATGCCTTAAATGCATGTCCTTTGATACCACATATGGAACTTCTTTTGAAAGGGATTCTGCTAGAGATTGACAAGGCAAGGCTGGGTCTTTCTTTTGTTCCCTACTTAGCTAATAGTGATGAAAAGAAGTGGACTTTGAGCTGGCGTAGATTCACCTAATGCTGTTGAAGTCCTGAATTTTTTACATCAGCAGACTATTACATATTCTTGCTTGGAATTTCTGTTAACCATCTATTATACCTGGAAGTTGGCATTTGTGGATCTTAAACTACATAAAATAACATCACTGTATTTTTCCCCCTTTTGGAATTAACTCAATTTTACACAGTACAAGAATAATCATTTTTATTCTGTACCATTTTTTAATGTGCCCAAGGAAGGGCAATCTCATTGTGAAAGAAAAGCATAGCGAATAGGGACTCATGTTTTTATCTTATTTTTTTTCTTGCTATAAGGAAAAGTTTGTTTCTTCAGATTTTGGAGAAATAGGAACAGTGCAGAATTCATTCCTGTCCTCCCAAATGTAAGTTGAGCTCTTAAAGGGTGGAGGGAGAGTACTTTTATATAACTACAAAAATACACACAGAAACAAATGAAATACTTTTATGCTATTCCAAGAGTGCAACAAGACACAATAAATTTAACATGTAATTAATGTATTTCATAATCTTAACAAAACATGTTTATTCAATGATTCTGAAATGTTTCTAAAATTATTTTGAAGCAGGTGGGTGTAAGATAAAGACTCCTACAGACTTTTATCAAAGTTTTATTCAGTGTTTATGTCATAGTTATAAAAATATTTTCTCTATTTGAAGCTATGTGAAAGAAACACCGGGTTTAACCTCACCCTCAAAATAATCCAGAAAAGTTCTGAGCTGCCTAAGAAAATATCAACAAAATGAAAATATAATAATAGGCAGACAGTTGAGTGACAACAGGAATAGGAATGTTGACTTCACACACACCTTGTCTTTCTCCAGTTAAAACCGTTGACCCAGGAATATGTATTACATTAAATACACAATATACAGTGCCTTTTCTGGGTAATATTTTATTCAAACGCACCCCATTTCTTATCAATTTCAACAATAGTATGACTGGAGGCTGGTTTGCTGACTTGTTCTCCCTTCCAAGCAGTTTTACTACTGTTTGGAGGGGATGATTTTGAAGAAGTGGCCAGGGTTGGGCAAGAATTAAGCTTTCCCATATGCGTAACAGTTTCTCTACAGTCTCCATTTAGATACCTCCCACCATAACACTTATTTTTAAATAAACCCAAATGAGAAAAATTATAAATATTATATATATTATGAATATATACCTTGACTTGAATCTTCTGTGAAATCATAACTTGAATAAATAATTAACAATAAATGCCTTGTTCTATGCCATCACAAACCAATAGGTTTGGAGGAAGCTGAATTCTAGTTTCTAGAATTATAACCACGCATACATACATCTGGATTTCACTACTGTCTACTAAACTGTAAATTTTTGCAACATAAATTTTATTATATTGAGTCTAAACTCAAGTTCATTAAATACGGACGATTCCAACTGGCAGTGGATCTCATAGTTTTTAGGCAGAGATTTTTGCAGCCCTGATTAGACATACTAAAGGTTAAAACTTGAACTTTCTGTTGTGCAAAGTATGTGTTCTATTATGAACACATACTTTGCACCTGTATTCCTTTCTTATACTATGGGAAAACCCAAATCAGTAGTTCCACAAGATGTGGAACAGGAAATAACCGTGGGTTTGGTGACTAGGCAGATAGGCTTCAAAATATTTTTGAGTCCTTGTTAGCCTCATGGCCAAATGTTAACAGTTATCACAGAAAGAGTTGTGGTTAGCCTTCTGCACTCATCCACAAATTCAGCCAACTACACCTCAAAAAGTGTTACACTTTATGTAAGCATACCCTGCTGCAGCTATCAACTATTTCACAAATCAGGTTCTTTCTAGCACTCATCTGAGTTGTTCATGTTCAACATGTTATATAAAAAAAGCCATTTTGCTACACAATTGTAGCATCCACAGATTTTGACATCCTTGGGGATCCTGGAATCAAAGCCCAGTGGCTACTAAGGGCTCGCTGTGCATTGTATTTGGGCCCTGATACATAATTTGATATTATCTTCAGTGTTCAAGGCTGGGAAAGGACTAGAGATCTTTTCTTTCAGCAACTTGCTTGTCCAATTCTCATGGTTATTAGGATGATAAATGAACAATGTCTGCAAATGTTAATTGTTTTTGTTCACTTCTGCTCTATATAAACCTTTTGAGTCCACCATCCATAGGTTTTAGCTTTGGGGAAAGATGCTCCCCAGTTCAGGGATACTGTAAGACAGTCAGAATAATCGAAGTGTAGAATTGGTTGTTATTAGTCCCAATTCTATCACTTGCTATGAAGGGATGCTGGACCTCATCTGCTAAAGGACTGAAACACTTTCTATGCTACAGAGCACCTGCAACATCATTTACTACCAATAAAGTTTATTTTATAACAGTCATGTTTGCCAGTTTTGCAGTACCAAGCAAAGTTTTATGAAAGCCTGAAATTACATACAGCCAGATCCAGCTCGAACACCAACCGCACAAATTATTTGCAGATTTGGATAGCTAGACCTGCCTTTCTAAATACATTATAAGTTAGCCAGGGCCATGCCAGAAGCACATTAAGGGCAGTTCCCAAATTATGATCAAGATAGGTTCTGTAGATTTGTTCTTAAGTCAAAACAAGTAGATTTTTCAGTGTAACTCCAGCCAAATATATATATGCCTAGGATAGAAAAAGAAGGTTTAACACCACTGTAGTGTTTACTTTGCTGCCTGTGCCCCTGTTCAGAAGATTTCACCATATTTTCTGTCCCTGTGATAATTAGATTTTGAAAAAAATCACTTGTTGTGGAAACAAGGATTGGTGATTAAGCTTCAGTTGAAACACCTTTTCCCCATAACTCTTTCGGGGTGAATTTCCCTAACGAGAGGTAGAATTTTTCTCACTTCCTGATATCTCACACCTGTTCTTAACTATAAGTTGTCTGTAAGAAGAATGTTTGTAACTCGGGAACTGGCTGTATTTTCAGTGATGCAGAACCCAAAAGAGAGCATCCATTTCTAGATTTTATCAAGGTTCATTCCGATGTGTTCTCAGGGCCCTTCCAGGCAGGCCCTATATTCCAGGATCTGATCCCTGGTTTTCTGTTTTTCTCCAGATTATCTGGCAGTGTAGACTCATATAATCCAGTTTAAAGCAGAAAACCTGGGATCAGATCCTGGAATATAGGACCTGTCTTGAAGGGCTTTCCATTTAGTAAAATGGAGATTCAAACCTGGGTCTCCAGAGCTGTAATTCAATGCTCAGACCACTATACCACACTGGCTTCCAATATGTCATGATGATAATAGCAGTAAGCCATTCCCACAATAGAAGACACTTTTCATCCAATATAATGTATCAGCAAAATAGATTACACTGTTGAAAAAGCTGAAAACTATTTACCATATAGAAAAATAATTAAAGTTACTCCTTATGTTGTCTGTTTCTTATACTTGATATATGAAATACATCCTATTAAAAAAAGATCTGCATTTTGCCTTCAGGAAATTAAGCTTCTCTGCTTCAATTAACAAATCAAGCCAGTGGCATTAACAGGGTTTTAAACATGTCCCGGTGTCTCCTTAAGAACTTGATGCTCAGTGTTTGCCTGAGCTAACATTCTTGCTCATGGCAGCGTATCTAGGTTGCACATCTCGAGCCAACACAGCTAAACTGATAACCAACCAAACTGGTACAGCTTCTTTGTTTTCTTTGTTTCTTTTTACTGTTAATCAGGTTTTACAGTCATGCTACAGCCTCTGCCAGAAATCTGCCATGCTCTCCCCTTTTTGGAATACTTTTGGGATACGGCATTGAACATTTCATATTGTGAAGAAGACAATTTCTGAAACTATATTTAATTAAGTAACAAACGGAAATAAGCAGTTACAATACAAAGGCAAAGAAATGAAGATATAGGTATCCTTTTGAGTGCATACGCCTTGTGTGTCTGGGGTTAACCTATCCAATGCAATTAATTGAGGAACTTTTAAGCCCACTTTATCAACAGTGTATGCCACAATATCAACTTTTCCAGAGCTTTACTGAGCATCCGTAAATGTGGTTTAAGAGGTATCATGAACTCCGGGCACTTGTTACTGGTCTATTTTGAACCAGTGATCTCTCTATCTCATAACTTCCCACAAGAAATAATATATCAGTGAATACTACCAGGTTTTGATTACTTTTTAACACAGTTTGTGGCTTCCACCACTTTCTTTGTCTACTTACATCTTGCCAATCCTCTGTTTCCCAACTGTAGGTAGTACACTCAGCCATTTGACATTCCTGTTCAGATGCTGGTCTGCTTGACTGATTGCATTCTGTTTCTCTAGTTGTTTTGTGAGTACCAATGTGGCAGAAGACGCTTCTCTGCTGAACTCCTCTTCCACAGGACACTGAACACTGATGGGGTACAAAAAGTAAGTGTCAGAAACCATGCCCGTCTAGTTTTTGAACTTTTTTCCGACAAGGAAAGTGTTCTGGATTCTAGCAAAAGAAATCCCAGATCATATGAAAAATTGTTTCCAGCTACATTCAATGCTTTTGAGCTGCACCAAAATATTGACAGAAATCCTAATGGTGTTGTAAGAATGTTTATTATAAAATCTGACTCATATGTGGCAGTCCTTTCCAATCAGGTTAACAAATAGTAAACATGATGACGTGTTTGTGCTGCTGTTTTCTGTCTCTGTATAATGTAATGATTCTGAAATATAAAATTGATTTTAAGTCTGAATCACTACATTACCTTATGTAAAACATGAGCATGTGCACATGTCTTCTAGTCACCTGTCTACTTATGGTGTCTCCATGAATTTCACAGAGTTTCTTAGGGTAGGAATATTCAGAGGTGGTTTTGCCAATTATCTTCCTCTGACATATTGCCTACAGCAGCTCATATTCATTGGCAGTACAACAACATATCACGTTTACAGCGCTGTTCCAAAAAAATGTACAAACAATGGTAAGCCATATGACACTGTTGTCTAAAATCTGCTTACATGGAGTGCATCTATGCTGTAGAACTAATGCAGTTTAACATCACTTTAGCTGCCATGGCTCAGTGCTATGGAGTCATGACATCTGTACTTTTACAAGATCTTTAGCTTTCTTTTCCAGATATCACTTTTGGGAGGAAAAAAACCCACAAAATTTTACACATGCAAACATATCAATTTCGAAGAGATTGTTCCATATATAACTATTTGTATGAAACAGATCTTCTTCCTTTTGCTAAGAAAGTGACAATCACGGTTACATAGATAAACTCTGAGCTTGGGAAAGTTCCTTTTTTGGACCTCAACTTTCAAGATCCTCCCCAACGCAGTAACTGGTTTCAGTAGTTCCACGGGTTAATGAACATTTAGAGAACAGCAGAAGCAGCAAAACACAACACTGAGGCCCTTCCACACAGGTGTATAAAATCCACATTGAACTGGATGATATGGCAGTGTGGACTGAGATGATCCAGTTCAAAGCAGATATTGTGGATGATCTGCCTTGATATTCTGAGTTATATGACTGTGTGGAAGGGCCCTGAGGCTGCTACTCCTGCAGATAAAACCTAGCTGTGAGAAAGTGGCTGTTGGGAAATACTGTAAGGTAATCCAATGGGATCACACCCACATATAGCAGATCCCCATGGGCATCTGCTATAGCATGTGCATTTCTGTTTCCTTGCTAACAATCTCTCTGCATTATTACATTAATTTTGCCTTGATGTTATTATCATCACAACATATTCACTCTAAAGTTACTTGCAATGAAGGGTAGAGATATATTTGTTTCACATATAAAATAGGCACACACCAATTTACAAATTTACCAGGTGGTCTTTGTTTTTAATAAGATCATTAAAGTAATTGCATAAAAGTTAGCAATAATAATGCTTGCAATGTGTAGATACCCATTAATGAGATGTAGTACTGCTGCTGCTAAGTACATGTTGCTTACAACTCATGTTTACGTAGAAGTAAATCCCATGATTGACTTTGACTTGCTTCCTAGTAAATGTGCATTGAATTACTGCCAGAATGAAGCAATGGGTGATATATTCATTAGTACCTGAAATGCAGTTTGAGGGTGTCTAGAAGAGGATAATTAAATGTAGAGAGAAGAGATTTAAAAGTCAAGAAGGTTTCTAGCGGAAACATTTGTAGCTGATATTATTAAGCCGATATTACTGCTGACATTTCACATTTTTGAAGATAAGAATTTGATAGGCCTCCTAATAATGCAAGAACTATTGAACTCTAATTTATAAACTATTACTATAATATTTGTAAGTGCTCTTGAATTTTTAAGATACTTTGAGAGAGATAACATTTAGACATTTACAGGTGTTACTTTTTTGAGCTCTTGTTCATATAAAATGTTTATAATGGCTTTAGGTATATCAATAATGGTCCAATAAATATGGCCAATAATGTCTTTGTTTTCTGGACTGTATGGTCATGTTCTAGAAGCATTCTCTTGTGATGTTTCACCCACATCTATGGCAGGCATCCTCAAAGGTTGTGAAGTTGTTAACTGGGGCACCTTACAGGGAGCGGTCAACCCTCCTGTTCAAGGAGCTCCACTGGCTGCCATTCATTTACTGGAACCAATTCAAGGTGCAGGTTCTTACCTACAAATACCTGAATGGTTTGGGACCCGCCTACCTGCATGACCGCATCTCTGTATACGAACCCACACGATCCCTTCGATCATCCGGAGAGGCCCTGCTCTCGATTCCACCAGCCTCGCAGGCACGATTGGTGGGGACGAGAGAGAGGGCCTTTTTTGTGGTGGCCCCTCGACTCTGGAACTCTCTCCCTAAAGACATCAGACAGGCCCCAACTCCGGCAGTATTTAGGAGGAGCTTGAAGACGTGGTTGTTCCAGTGTGCCTTCCCGGAATAATGATCCCATAGCACTTTGTCCTCAAAGCCCTTTACATTTTTTAGGTCTGCTCGTATGCCCTTCCACAAACGCCACTATCACCTTTCCGTCCATGTCCCAGCATTATTCCCAATTTTAACTTTACATTTGGCCTTCCCACTGTTTTTAATTGTGTGTTGTCTTATTGCTAATGTTGTATATTTTATTGTCTATGTTTTTATTTTAATTGCTTGCATTGTTATTATTGCTTGTATTGTTGTGTTTGGGCTCGGCCTCATGTAAGCCGCACCGAGTCCCTTGGGGAGATGGTAGCGGGGTATAAATAAAGTGTTATTATTATTATTATTATTATTATTATTATTATTATTATTTGTCTCTTGGAAACTAGTCAAGTGAGGTTTATATATCTGTGGAAGAGTTCTTTCTCCAGGGTGAGAGAAAGAACTCTTGTCTGCTTGAGGCAAGTGTGAATGTTGCAATTGGCCACCTTAATTAGTATTTAATGGCCTTGTAGCTTCAAAGTCTGGCTCTGAGGATGCCTGCCATTGATGTGGGTGAAACATCAGGAGAGAATGCTTCTGGAACATGGCCATACAGCCCGGAAAACTCACAGCAACCCAGTGATTCTGCCATGAATGCCTTCAACAACACAATGTCTTTGTATTTTGATACAGATCACTATGCAACAAAATTTGAAAAATGTTCTGTTTCTGGTTTGAAAGTGTTATTTCCTGTTTAATTGTGCAGTACTGATTTTGAAAGTAGTTGTTATACTTCAGAAACTTTGTTTTTGTGGCTGAGGGTAGTATTTCTATTTCTTTCAGTCTACTCTAGGAATTGGTCTGTAAATTTCCTTAATGATATCATACCATTTTTAACCTTTGTGCACACCGCAAAAACAACGTTTCTGCCGTTTAATAAACGTTTTCATGTTTTTATTATAGAACCGATTAAGAAATGACATTTATAACCCAAGAACAGAAATCATGTTACATAGTGAAATTATTGATTCTGTATAAATTAAGATTTAATGTCATTTTCTTACATTTACAATCTAGTATAAGGTAACAAAGTGCTATTTCTTATGAGAAAAATACAATGACGGGCTTTTACTATAGTGCATCACTTTAGTTTCTTTATGGCCCATAAACTGAGTAGACCCAAAGAACATGCTGACTGTGGACATTCCTTTAGGCTATAAATGTTTATGAAAGGCCAGTTTTGTAACTTGAAGAAGTGGAACACAATGCAGTTTGATTTCTACACAAGGCTGATGCAAATGCTTCCCATATGGTGTGTTGCTTTCTGTTGTGATTAATAACACTGTTTAGCCTCAGTATTCCTCATGGGAGAGTTGGTTAGCAAAATCCAGAGGAATGTACACAAAAGAGCTCACTTTAATGTAGTCTGAAAGAGTTTTTGCCTCTCCTTCTTGTAATATTCAGAGGTTCCATTATATGACAGATATAATATGGGTGAAGCTAAATTGAAATGAGAAGAATTCTTCCTCTAACTAATGAGTCGATCCAATACTAAGGTAGTGATAGCTCTTTAGAGACAGTTCTCACTGCATACTGCTAATACAGATGTCTAGTCTGTCAAAATACATCTCTACCATGGTCTCCTCTATACTTAGTGAAGGTGAGTGGTTTGCTTCTTTTCTCTCTCATACCTACACGGAATATTTTCAATTATACGGACAGGATGGAAAAAAGAGTTCCGTTCAGTCAATCCTCTGTATCCACCAATTGTGGCTTGAAAATATTCCAAATTACTTTTTAAACATTCATTCTAGAAATGGGAATTGAATATCTATGGATTTTAGTATCCATGAAGGTCTTGGAACAAACCCCCCGTGGATACCAAATGAGAAAGCATGCTATTTCTTTGTGTTAGGAATGATTTGAGAAACTGCAAGTCACTTCTGATGTGAGAGAATTTAAACATTGATTCTATATAATGGGGATTGAATATCTATGGATTTTGGTATCCATGGAGGTCTTGGAACAAACCCCCTGTGGATACCAAATGAGAAAGCATGCTAATTTTTTGTGCCAGGAGTGATTTGAGAAACTGCAAGTCACTTCTGATGTGAGAGAATTGGCTGTCTGCAAGGACATTGTCCAGGGGAAGCCTGAATGTTTTGATATTTTACCATCCTTGTGGGAGGCTTCTCTCATGTCCCCACATAGGGAGCTGGAGCTGATAGAGGGAGCTCATCTGCGCTCTCCCCAGATTCAAACTGGTAACCTGTCAGTCTTCAGTCCTGTCAGCACAAGAGTTTAACCCACTGCCCCACTGGGGGGCTCCTGCTTATTGGGATATGAAGCATCAGTTATACCACAGTGTTTACTTTGGAAGATGTCACAGCAGAATAATACTTGGGCATATTTATCAAGCTAGTTTGAGTCCCAGTTAAGAAGAAAGTATATGGTAGAAACAATAATTACGCAAAAAAAAAAATTCAGAAGAGCCTGAAAGAAGGACGTGAGGAGATTCCTGAGAAGGACGTGGTTGAGGACA